ATAATGCTGTAACACTGGCATGTACATCTGTACTATAATGCTTTAACACTGCTGTGTACATCTGTACTATAATGCTGTAACACTGATGTGTACATCTGGACTATAATGCTTTAACACTGCTGTGCACATCTGAACTATAATGCTGTAACACTGCTGTGTACATCTGGACTATAATGCTGTAACACTGATGTGTACATCTGTACTATAATGCTGTAACACTGGTGTGTACATCTGGACTATAATGCTGTAACACTGATGTGTACATCTGGACTATAATGCTGTAACACTGGCATGTACATCTGTACTATAATGCTTTAACACTGCTGTGCACATCTGTACTATAATGCTGTAACACTGATGTGTACATCTGGACTATAATGCTTTAATACTGCTGTGCACATCTGTACTATAATGCTGTAACACTGCTGTGTACATCTGGACTATAATGCTTTAACACTGCTGTGTACATCTGGACTATAATGCTGTAACACTGCTGTGCACATCTGGACTATAATGCTTTAACACTGCTGTCTACATCTGGACTATAATACTGTAACACTGATGTGTACATCCGGTCTGTAATGCTGTAACATCTGTGCTAACTGTGGTAAGTTTAAGATATTTTCATTTACCCATCAGCCTGTGAAATCCCACAAATTACATTACAGAACATCCTCTGGTAAAAAAAAAAATGAAAAAAATCCAGCTCCAATAGTGCTTAAGTTATGCTCAGCAGAAAGATATGTGGCATGTTGCTTTACCACAAATTCGCACAGAATGCATAAGTGGGGTGGAGCAGCGACCGCACACAGTTCATTTACTCTCAATTTTCTATCCACAGCTACACAGGCAGGACTTTCAGTGTTGTTGTGGAAGCTTCCAACACTTACCGCCAGCCTGTTTACTCTTTCTTTTGCGTGTAGGAGACCTGTATATGTTTTATTAAACTCTGAATCTAAGCCAGATTCCTCATTCCAATCTCATCGAGATGAAAGAAAGAAAAAAAAAAGATTTAGATTTTTCAATGTGATCACACTTTTGATTCCATCTGTTGCTGAACTCCAGTGATCTTCAGTGTTTTGGAAATTCTTGCTTTTGTGTATGCAAATGAAAAAGCGTGCAAAAAGCAGCCCAACCTTAATTGGACCGAAAGCCTCAGGCCTGTCACAAGCTTGCATTAAAAATGCCAAATCCCTGCCAAGTCCCTGAACATTTGCATGAACATGTACCCGTCTGCTCCCTGTCTGAAAGCCAATTTATGAGGCAAGGAAAGAATAAAGGCGGCTTAAATGCTGCACAAAGGCCAAAATTTATTTTTGACACATTCACTACAACTACTGGATGATGTATCATTGCACTGGCTTCATACTAGACCAACAGCGTTAATTAAAAACGGCAAACATCAGAGGGAACCTGTTACTCTGCTGTTTAAAGACTGCAAGTACCTGAGCTGACTTTGATGCGTCGCATATCTGTCACTCAAACCAGAAAGAAAAAGTGTTTTTAATCCACGTCTCACGACATCATGTCTCCTCAAACGGCATAAATCTGTAAAGACGATCCTTGACGTTGACAGCTTGATTGACTGATTTCATATGTATTATAATGACAAGTGTGGAGTGATTAGAATATTATGCAGTTCTGAAGAGAAAATAAAGTTGTGAGTTTTTAGCTAGTATTAATGAGTTTTACATTAAGCAGATGCAGATGGACTGCAACCTTTTTACCTGGGAAAAACGTATTTAAGGTTCACAATCGGACCTTAAAACCACTGTTGTACCTTTGAGGGAACATTTACATTGTTTGTACCTTGATGAACAAAAAATGTACCTGCACAGAACCTTTATTTCTAACAGTATAGAATGGGACATGAATATCAATAGGCTGCTTATGTGTGACAGTAACATCTGAATACTTTTACAGTAATACCTGATAAACAAAAGGTAAATAATCTTAAAACTCAGTGATATTGTTCCAATAATTCAATATTCTGCGTGACGTGCCTCTTTATGTTATTACATTCCAGTTTCCCCCATAGCAACCCAAGGATGTGAGGCTAATCTAGCTATCAAAGCAACGGGCAAATAGTGATCTGATGCTAAAACGTTTAAAAAGGACGTGATGTCATTAAACTGTTGTACATTTGCAGTTCAAATCATTTTGAACATGTACCCTGATGAAAAAAAACAGCATAAACCAGAATGAATTCCATGCTGGTTTATGCTGGTCTAGTGCTGGTGTGGTGTAGGATTAGCTGGTCAGCCGGCAGGGTCATGCTGGTTGACCAGCATACCAGCATCCAAAACTCAACATATGCTGGCTTTGCTCCTGACCAGCATATCAGCTTCCAATGCATCCAAAACACAACATGTGCTGGTTTTGCTGGTCTGTGCTGGTTTTCTAGCCATTCTAGCCCAATGGAAGCCTTTTGTAAGGGGGTATTTTATTTTGTGCATTATCTTACTTTTTGAGCAATAAAAGACTCTAAAATATGTTTCTGGGGTATCTAATTAATGATTGTGTGTGATTATGAGTAAATACATGCCATTTCCTAAGCAAACTACTCAGCAAATCATAGTAGCAAATGTCATGAGAGATTTGTACAGAAAACAACTAATGAAACTGGAAAAAACATGGAAATTTGCCTCAGGTGTCACAAGAAATGTTTAAAAATGACGCATTTTGTTGAGGCATTCACACGATTAACACTCACTGTTTTATGTCTGTGTATTATAACACCAAACAACAAGTTATGATAGAAAACTCGAGGTTTCCTGCTGATGTTTACCACTCTGGAGGCCTGTTTATTCGCTCATAACTCACTTTTACAACGAGTCTGACAGCACTTGAACGCTGCATTTTCCTCATGGATTTTTCTAGTTGTGTCTGGCTTGTCTTTTGCAAAGCAATACCGTCACCTAGTGGTTGTGGTTCGCCCAGTCTTTACATTCTTAATGTGAGGTGTATCTAAAGCTTTGCTTCAGGCTTGACAAGCTGGTATTACTTCCAACAGATTAAAGCATACTAATCAGACCCCCCCCCACCCCCCAACACACACACACACACACACACACACACACACACACACACACACACACTCTCTCTCAAAAAAAGATGGTTCTTTACTGGTGGTTCTATATAGAACTGTGAACACTTGAAGAACCATCTGCATGCTGATATGTTTCTTCAGACTGAGAGACAATATGTTGTATATGGTTCTGTGTAGGACCTTTTTGGAATTGGTTCTGTATAGCACCAAAAGGGTTCTGCTGCTGTTATGATGTCAAGCTTGTAACAATAGGAGAACCCTTTTCAAAAAAGGTTCTATGTAGAAGCATATACAACACATTCTCCATCACTCTGAAGAATCACTTCACCATGTAAGGACCCATTCAAGCATGCAAGTGGTTCTTTGAGTGTTCTTTGTTCTAAATAGAACCACTACCTTGAAGAACTGCACTCTTAAAAAAAGTTCTTCAATGGTTCTCTAGTAAACAAATTGGTTCTGTATAAAACCATGAACATTTTGCATGAATAAAGGGTTCTCTGCATTATGAAATGGTTCTTCAGATTGACTAGAGACTATGCTGTGGATGGTTCAAAATAGAACCTTTTTGAAAAGGGTTCTTTATAGCACCCAAAGGGGTTTCTTTAATTGTTACAAGCTTATTAGAAGCTCTCCATCATTTTTTATCATGATTCAATGAACCCTTTAATCATGCAAAGGGTTCTTTGCTCATAGTTCTATGCAGACCCAAATTCTTTACTGAACAGCCCTTGAAAAAACATCTTTTTAAGAGTGTATATTAAGCAGAAATGCGGTAATATTTTCTTCAAAAGCCTCTTTACTGATGAGAAGTAGCCACTTTGTTCAGTTTGTGGCGATAATGATTGGATTAGGGTGAACTCTCCCCCAGGAGCCTCTGTGTTTATCAGTGCTTAGAGTGCTTTCATTTAAAATGTTCCTGCCATACAGAAGAGCGTGGGGTAGCCTGAACTCGTGCTCATGCTACTGAGACATAGTGACTCAACTAAAAGTACCTCATACTAAGTTACTAATAGAACTGCAGGGAGCCTTCTTAGTACACAAATCAGCACAGGAACTTGTTAAACTCTATTATCTCTTCATACTTTATGGTTAAAAAATTATTTTAATATTTTATACTTATTTTAAAACACATCCAGTAAGAGAAAATATGCTCAACGTTTTCCCTTATGTTATTTTCCTAACCAGGTATACTTAGTTTTAGCAAATGGCCTTTAGTCGTAGTAAAGTACTACTTGTCACACACCCCCCCTTGCAGAAAGCAATAAGGTGAAAGGTGATAACACTCTAACCTCGTCATCTCACTCCTTAAGATGATAATAACCCGCCTTATCTGCACCCCCTATACCTCAATCTCCTTTTCCTCTTTAGTTTTCAATGTACGTAAGATCCTTTCAAAATATTGGTGATGGACTGATGACCAACACATGCCTATGCATGATTCTCTACATGCACATGAATAAAACTGAATCTGAAGATCTGGTCTCCTGACTCCTCCTGCTGAATTTCTTAACAGCAGTAAAATTTTACTTGATCAGCTTCTGCATATTTTTTTAACAGCTGATTTTCTTTATGCTTGCACTTTAAAGTGGGGAGGCGGAGGAAGTGGTCCCAGCTTTCTAGACCAAGAAATGACCTATAAAACACTATACGAGCTTCACTGAACGAGCTTCACTCTACAATTACACCGTCTAATCAGGGTGTACATAGTAGCTGAGAGAAAAATAATTGAAGTTCAGCTCCTCAGAAGGTATTGGTTATTGCCAAAGTTTTTTTTTCCCTGTTAACTTTGTTCAAGACGTCTGCGAAGCCATTAGGGAGAAAATCTAACTTATTCTGTACTTCAGTAATTCCAACACTGACCCATGAGCAAAACACTAAAATGTTATTTTTACCCTCACTTACTGCTCTTCCTCCACAATTCCCACTGCAAATAAAAACTCAAGACACCAAGTCTCATAAATACATTGTTTATTTAGAAATCTGAACAGCACAAAACACGACGACACTATATACACATTAACTCCCACCTGTTCGCACTCCTCTGGTCTTCCTCCAACTTAAATCACTTTACATCTGAAAGAAAACACGTCTAATGAAACAAGAGATCACTACCCTTCCCCTTTCCCCCTGTACAAACTATTTACAGTATTTACAGTGTCCATAAAACCTTCCAATCTAAAGACAAATGGAAGATCAGTGTTTGTTAGGGGAAGATTTCTTGATGGGGACCCACTGTCCATATGGCTTTCTGTTCCCCACGCTGTCTGCTCTGGATGTTACCTTACTCTCCGACACATGGAACGTTGGGCTGCTTGATGGTTTGGCAACAGCGTTCTGTGGACAGAGAAGAAGGAGAGAAAAGTAAGCAGTAAGTTTACATTTAACATTATCATCACTGAAAAGGCACTTATTCCTTATAAAATCTATATATGGAAAACATTTGTGTGCGTTTATGTACCACAAGTCATAATTTCATTCATATTTCCATAAATCCATGACCATTTCCAACCTCTGTTTATCCCTTAGAATTAAACAGGCTGTTAGTGTCACTGTGCTGTTAGGACTGATTTATTTAAATGGGATCTGTTCTGACAGATTCATTCAAAAAGTAAAGGGCAGGGCTGAACTGCTGTAGGCTGACTGAAAACATTATTCAAAATTATGGGTTAAGTTGCTATAGACTTACACTGATGCTGAAGGTAATTGGTTTCCTTGATGGGGACATCTTAGGAACGCTGTCATCTTCAGCTCTCATATCTTTGTCCTACAGAAACAGGAAGAGAAAAGTTACACTTACACAAAGATACTTGCATCTTACTATCCATTTTCTAACAAAACCTTCTGTACATGCAAAAAAAACATTTAAAGAAAACAGGCCTACTTAAAGAAGGCCCGAGTCTGAAACTGTTCTGTCTGTTTATATCTCCATCAACAGTCTGTACGGCTGACAGAGGCAAAACAAAATCTATCATCAATACAGAAAGTATAAAATGCATTAACCAAAAAATAAAATAAAGTCAAAGAATCCTTCTCTGAGTAGAAAGATGAAGATGCAGTAAATGTGATTTTTTCCAAACCCCCATCCAGCGCTCTGGGCGCAGACTTGTCTTTGGTATACGAGGACAGAGGGGAGAGGGGCTGTTCTTCTGAATTAAGGGCCACTAAAAGCCAGTCCGTACGCCTGAGTTTCTTCAGACACACGGATTCGAGGAAGACTCTGGTAAATAACAACGCACCCAGTTCAACCATCAGTAAGTTAACATTATCATAATCCTGCAGCTCTAATTGTGATGAGTTTATATATGGTGTATGTGCTGAAATGTCCCAAGTATGTATAAAGTATTAATAAATGTTGTTCTATGACAGTCAATAAATTAGTTGTGTAGCAAATATATTGTAAGTAATGATATTCTACTTCTAGAAATATTTGCACCGATGTTACTTGACCTTTGCGCAACATAAGCTTTTAAACCTTCTTGAAAACCCAATGTTGTCACTCAAATGATCTCCTACTCCAAGGGATGGAGGAGTGCAGACCACTGTCATGTGATCTACAGGAACAGAAACGATACAAAAACAAAGCAATTGAAGCGATCCTGCAGACATTGAGGAAGGTTAAAACAAACTGTTACTGTCTCTCGTATTGCACAGGGGTGCGCACACACACATTCACTCACACACAGGTGCACACGCACACAAAAAATACTTGTACATACTCTTATTTTACCGTTACCTAATCCGGTCATGACAGTATGTAGCTGTTGGTGGTCTATATTTTTGCCTTCATCACGCTTCCATTATATCCATCAGCCAAAAACAATTATGTCTGAGGAGATAATTTACACGATGACCCAGGTTGGTTTAAACAGAGCACAAATAACACTATTTTCATGAAATCCAAGTAGAAACCAAAGGTTAAACAACCCTCTTCACAAGCATGCAAACTACAGGGTAATGTACAATTGCGTTAGCTCTTTCAGTTCAGTTAACTTAAAAGCTCTTTCCAAAGCAGGTACCTCTTTGAAGAAAGAACTGTATTTACTACAGTGTAGATTAGCTTCATATCACTGACTCCCAGTTACAAAAGGTGGTATGTGGGAGTTTCTAACACTCACCTGTGCTGGTTTCTTCAGTGACACCGGGTCTACTCTCACCCGTTCTTCAGCGTTAGGCTCTGGTTTCTTTTCTTGCTGCTTTGTTTGTTGCTCCATAGTCTTCACACTGGCAGGCAGCTCCAGGTTCTGTACACCAAGAATTTTTGTTGCGTTCTCTTTAGCAATGTTCAGGAGATCCATTTTTTCTGTGGAGAGATTGAGAGGACATTGTCTGTCTAATTCTACATGTTTTGGGGATTAAAATCAAGTGATGTAAAAGTACAGATATGTAGCAGTCTATGTAACCACAGGTCACCAAGCCTCCTCATGGAGATACACTCTTCAAACACTACAGCTTCAACCCAAATCGCTGACTCAGAAAATTAAATGAGTTAATCAGCTGCTTAAGGTAGGAGCTACACTTCCATCATGAATAGAGCTGGTGACCAGTAGCCTAAAACAATCAATGAAAGCAATACTTATATCAGCTCTTCACATGTTAACCAGTCGTACAAGGGCTTTACCTCTCTGGCTAAGCCGAATAGCAGACTGTTCTGGAGATCTTGATCTGCTCCTGTAGTCTCTGTAGCGCCTCTTTGGTGAGGGGGAGAATCTGCACCTGTACCTCCCCACAAACCTGCTAGACACTCCCCTGTAACTGAGGACCGTGAGCGAGACCTGCGCCAGCGCCTGGAGTAGCGGCCACGTGAAGAAGAACGGCTGCTGGAGCGGGAGTATGCCCTGTGCCTGCGTCCATGGCGGGATGAGCGATATGGTGAAGGACTGAAGGACCTAGAGCGGGCCCGGTAGCGGCGGGGAGGAGAGTGGTGCCGACAGCGAGATCGGTCTGCAGCACGGTGGCAGCGCGGGTGAGAGCGGGAACGCGTGCGGGAGCGGCTGTCAGATGAGGAGCTGCTATCGGAGGAGGAGGAACGGGACCTCCGGCGATGTCGTCGCCGTGAACGCCGTGACTCGTCTGACCTATAGGAAGAGCCACTGCTGCTGGAGTAGGAACTGTCTGGGCTGCTGCTGCGACTAGTAGAGCGTGAGGAGCTGGTCTCTTGGTCAAAAATGAGCCGCATTCCCTCACTGAGGCGAGCCTGGTGGGCCTGGCCACTTTCCTCTGTCTTCATTGTCAGATCTGCAGAAAACATGTACATTTTAAGTTTCTGCCTCAAAAAAATTAATTACTTATTTAGAAGAGAAAAACAACCAATGATAAAATACAACCTTTATTTATTAATAAATTAGAAGTTGATTGTTAACATAAATGTCCAGGAAGCTCATAACTACTATTAAAACTTACATAATGATAATCATTACTTGTCATTAAATATTGGCATTTGAGGATCTGAAGTACTATTTAAAGAAACAAAAGCTCAAACGTAAAATTCATGACTGTCTACCTAAGATATGTTTAAACAGCATTAAGTCTATTAAAACAGCACCATGTTCCTGGAAAGGACTGCAGTATCATAAACAGGGCGCTGGGTGGGGAATGTTCTAGCACAGCAAGACAAAAATAGGGCAGCTTATGCAACTTAAACTCCACCCAGTTTGCGTAACAGCTAACAATGGACCGCCAAAGCGCTTTGCCCTTTAAAGGGGAATTCCACCGAGTTTTCATAATTTCTTTACAATTAAGTAATTACGCATACTCTGTCACTTTAAAAGGTTTACCGTAGTTTTAGCCTACGTATTTCTTGAAACCCATTCACGGCGAAGTGAGTGTAGGGTCTTCTGGAAAAATAGTACTACCTAGTTTTCACTATGTCGCTTTTCAACATTAACCACATTAGCGTTACATATATGAGACACGTCTAACTTCACTGGTCATAATAACAAACGGCTGTCTAGCTGACCTATATGTATAAAATCGCGAACCAATTCCTTTCTGCACTACTTTGAAGGCGTTTGAGTCAGCAAGTTTGTCTGCAACGCACAATTTCAAATTAAACCACTCTGGAAATATAAAAATAACTGCGTTTCGTTCTTTTTAATTAGCTTACATCTGTGTTAATTACTGAACTAGCAAGCTAACCAAACAACATTAGCTACCGAACAAGGAGGCACTCAGCTAACTAGTAAACGTAAAGATAACGTTACTATTAGGTCACCTAAACTAGACTAACGTTACAGCAACGCATGCAGGCAGTACAGATGTTACATTTTCAGAGAATTCAACTTTAGTTTTAGTCTAGACTTTATTTATTTCATCCTCAAAACTAACGCTAACTAGCCACAGAAACACAGAAATGTAGCTAACGTTATAATAACGTTCATCACTCGGGTTAACATTAATATAGTAGCTGGTTCATTATTCGCCAGCTACCCAAGCTAACAGGCTAACAACCAAACGCCGTTTCTTCGAATCGAAATAAAACACGAGGCTGAACTCGACTTCATATTCGCTTCTTGTTCCCATTCCTCCGTTCCATCTTAAATGTCGCAGCTGTTACATGAACCTGAGGCGTTATAATAGTAACTGCTGTATCGTTTAAGGTGGAACGGGAAATTCGAACAAGAAGCCGACTTCAGCTAACAGATAAAACTACTTCTGAAAAAAAAAAACCCAATCAGTAACTATTTCTAAAACAAACATATCTTATACCTGGACAGACTTGATATATCGTCGAAAAACTCCAAAGCGAGGTTGTTGTTTGTCGTTTAAGCGAAGAGAGGTCGAGAAGCGATGCCAACCGACCGTCGACGTTTCTGGAATGAGAGTAGGATTTCAAAGCCAACAGCCCGAAAGCTGAAACGTCACAGGACCGAACGAGCTGGAAATTTCCAGAAGCTTCACTGACCCCGCCCCGCCCCCTGCGGCCCGCCCCGTCCCGCCCCGTCCCGCCCTCTCAGCCCCCCACGTCAGCTACATGAGGCACGTTCAGTCGCTTGAAGGCTTTCTGTGCTTGTGTGTCTTTATGGACCCCTGTTTTGTCACTTTGTCAAAGAAATTTGAGTGTTGTTCGCAGTCTTTATCTGCCTACTGCAGTAGGAAAGCTGTGAAAACCTGGAACCTTGTTCTAATTTTGCCATTTTTATGTAAATAATCTAGCTAATAAGGCTACGTTTACACAGCAGGTAAAAGTGGCCAGAATCCAGAATCTTTTTCCTCAAACGTGACACAGATGTGTCATCTGTGTGTGAGTGTGAACAGCAAAAACCACACTGAATCTGACATTTTCAATTCCGATTTGAGACGCTTTCATATGCGGTACTGAAATCCGATCCGTATCTGATCTGCGGCAGTGCGGCTCAGTCTGAACAGCCAGATCGGAATTCACGCGACTTTTACGCCAGTCTAACTCGACATTCGTCGTAATTTCGCGCTGCTGAGACTCATAAACACTTAGGTTGATGTTTCTGTACCAAAAAATTAGAAGAGACTCATCAAACCGCTCCGTGTTCGAGGAGGTTTCGGACAGAACGGCCGGAGGCATATCTGACAGCAACAAAGAGTCAAAATCACAACGGGTTGAAAATGATAGCAGATTACAGTGGAGAGGGTTTTTCAGCATCTTGTTTGAGTCGACTTATCAGCACGACAAACAATCGACATCAGCTTTGCTCTATTGTTCCAAAAATGTTGGACACGTCCAAATTGAATACAATACAATACAAGTGAAGTTTCTCATAGCTCATGGCCTCAATATACTAATAAGGTGTGGCCACTGAGGCCACGAATTACTATATTGAGGTCACAAATTAATATATTGAGGCTACAAGTTATAATTCTCATAACTAATTGCCTCAATATACTAATTCCTGTCCTCAATATATGAATTTGTGGCCTTAATGTAGTAAATTGTGGCTTAATATATTAATTTTGTCCACGTCTTATTAAAAAATAATCACCATGTCACCTTAGAGGCTCCGTAGAAATGCCATCTTGTTGAGAGATTTCTACAAATTTCCTCTTTTATTATATTTTTTTATTATATATTTTTCTTTATCTGTGACGTGAAGCACCGTTGCCAAGGAGACGGGTCAGTGAACGCGCCTCCATATTTACCTTGGAATCTGCACATATATCACATATTTTATCGCGAGACTTCCCAGGTTTCCGCGGTAACTTTTGCTCCCATTTTCCTCTGATTACACAAAGCGTCACCGTGAGTTTGCATTTAATCTGCGTCTTAAAAACACCGTAATTGTGTAAAGTCGAGTTTGTGGAGAAGCGACCCAGCCGTGCACGGAGCAATGGAGATTTTAGACGTCCTCCCTGCCAACTTCGGCTACGCGATCCTGACCTACCTCTACAGCTGGATCATGCTGACTTACCTCGCCGTCAAAGTCGGAGCTGCGAGAAAAAAATACAGTGTGAAGGTAATGAACTCAGTGGTAATGTTAAACTGGCCTGGCTCTGAGGTGACGTTGCACAGAGTGAGCTTCCCTTCAAATCTGCTTGTTCCGGGTTTTTATTTATTTATTTACGTTTTGCTGGGATACAGCATAAGGGCGAAAACAAATGAATTTCTTTTGTCAAATGACCAAATTTGTCAAAAAAGTGGCACCTGCATGTGCATCTAGGCAGCTGCTAGCTTAGCCTTTTCCACCATTCATTTCTTTAGCTGTACGAACACTGACAGTGCTCACTTTACCTGTCACCTGTCTGGTTATGCATAATACTAGACATAACAACTTAGTTATGCACGAAAGTATATATAACATTGTAGTTACACATTTAGTTACACATCACACCACATCTTTTCTGCTGTGTTGGCCCCAGACTAGTACTGTATCTAAAAGAGAATTATGTAAGGTAGGATTTTAAAAGGGAATTCCACCCTTTTTCCAAGATTCCTACATAATTACGTGTTGAAGATGTAAACAAAGTCATTCAGAGTGGTTTGGTGTGAAATGCTCTGTTCCAGGGAAACTCGCAGAGTCAGAACTGTTCACTGCAGTCGTGATAGGAACCAGACGTCCAACCAAGTGTTCAGTGCCTCTAAAATGACCTCACAGGATGTTTATGTAATGGTTAGGAATACATTGCCTGATAATGGTAATACGTTATTTTATGATGTATTAAAAGATGTATTGAAAATATGATGTATTAAGATGTATTAAAATCCATTCATATAGGAGCAGTACATGCAGGGCTTTGTAAAATAGTACTGAAATAAAACATGTTTTTGGGGATTTTTTTTTTTTGATTTGCCTCTATTTTCTCATTATCAGCATTTTTATCAGTATATAAAAACTCATAAGACCTGTGGAGATTTACTGGACATTTGGATAGCAAACGAAAGGAGCATTGTAGACATGTGACCCCTGTTTTCTGTAAAAAAAAATTCTCTACAAGGAACCATTTCACAACAAACCACTCTGAATGACTGTGTTTACAGCTTAATGATTGGGTTTTTCTATTGTTACAAGCTTGATATCATTACAATAGAATAATCCTTTTTGGTGCTGTATAGAACCCTTTTTAAAAACCTTCTAGAACCATCTATAGCACATTCTCTATCAATCTGAAATACACTTTCACGATGCAAAGTACCATTTAATCATGCAAAGCATTCTTTGGGTGATCATGGTTCTATTTAGAACCATTTTCTTTACTTAAGAACCCTTGAAGAACCATGTTTTTTAAATGTGTAGGCTTTGGAAATTTCTCAGATGAAGTAGGTTATAGACAATACAAGTTTGAATGAACCAAAGAAAGGCTTCTGGTACTTTGACCGCCTCACTTTATCTGTTTGACATGCGTGTTTGCAGTACCCTACCATGTACAGCGATAAGGAGGACGTGTTCAACTGCATCCAGAGGGCTCATCAGAACACGCTGGAAGTCTATCCGCAGTGGCTAGTTTTCCAGACCATCGCTGCACTCGTTTATCCAGTGAGTAGATCACTATTACAGGGCCTTGGGGTCCACATCATATTCATTATAATGCAATAAGTTGTGATGTTTTAATATTTTATATTATGTTTGATTTGGGTACCAGCAGTACTGTAGTATTGTACTAGGATACTATGGCTTTACGTGCAGTTAATGTTTAACAGGGTAATCCAGTATGATTGTCAGATATTCACTTTACCCTAGTATAATGATATCTGCACAAACAGACAATCTCATATCTCAAGCAAACACAACAGACCTTGTCCTGTTTAATCCACTGCTTTATCATTTTCTCTCACTTTAGACTGTGGCCTCTGTTCTGGGGGTCATCTGGGTGACCAGCAGGTTCTCCTATGCCTGGGGCTACTACACTGGCAGTAAGATTTAATTTACTGGTTCCTCTATTACTACATTTTGTGTTTTATTTAGCTGCAATGTTATGTGTCCATCGTGTCATTTAAAGGCCAATTTGGATTGGAGCCATACTATATGCATCACATTCATTCCATACACTGTTGTGAAAGGAGATAAAACCCCAGAATGTGCCTTTTTACTAGTGCAGTTTGTTTAACTTTGTTTAAGCCCTTAAACTGCAGGCCTAGTATTCAATTATTAATGTTAAACGTTCTGTTCATACATTACTATGAATTATTAAGATTTACTATGAAAATAATATGTAAATTATGTAGTAGATGTGAAAAGAAAGTTATGATAAAACATTCAAAACCGCATATTGAAATTTTAAACCTCATCTGATATCCTCGTCTGAGATATAATTACAGCTGTGTAGAATCAAGACATTTTAAGAATTTGCAGAATTGAAAATAGTATTCAACCCAAAAATTGCATTATTACACCACTATTACTTAGTTATGATAGTGAGGAAGCCATACACTGGATGGTTTAAGGGGTTAATCGAATGCAGGTTTGTCATATTTCAGCTGTAGAGCAGCCTAAAGATAAGATTACGCAACTGGGGCGTTGCCCCCTTTTATTGTCCCACAGCTAACTGAAACTGCATTTACAACTGCTTTAGGACTACAGTCATACTCTAAACAGGCAGTTCCAAAGAGTTAATGTAATGACTGAAGAGTCAGAGTAGTAGTGGCAGTGGAAATGTGGCATCAGTGAGTTTTTCAAGTTTAGATTTGTTCGTTGAATGAGCCCAAAACACTATAGCATAAAAACCGAAGCCTACACATAAATCTTTCAGTATGCTGTACGCTCTGCAAATCTTTGCCACAACAGGAAATTACTTGCTTCCTATGCATGGGTCGTCCCTACCATAGACCACAAGTACTCACAGGCCTAGACAGGATTATATAACAAATGGTATGTAAACATAGTTCAGTAGTGAGCGCCTAAACAGTGACAAATGGAACAGAATCGCTTGTCGTAAGTGGCTTGGTGATGGCTTAACAGCCTAAGAATCCAGATCAACAGAAGTTTCAACCCTTGTAAATGTCTGTTAAACATTTATTGGAAGAAATCTGCCTGAAATCCCAGATTACATGAGTATCATAAAGCAGCAGGAGTGTGTTTATATACACAGTGTAAGCAATGAGTTTGATAGAGCTTTGGATTGAAATTTAACAATAATAACTGCTTCGCTTTTGAAGACTGAAAGCAAACAGGACCCATTTTGGAACATAATTTTGTTTTATTACTGCTTCACACCATCTGTTGTTTTTCACATTTGCAACAGCGCATATCGTCTCCTAGTACTGAGCAATAAACAACTCCGTAGAGCTGTGTATTCAGATGTTTTATGAAGTTGAAGGGAAATCCCAGCCTAAAACTAGCCTTTAATATGTTATTCGTCATGTTATAAAATCTTCTGTAGCCCAGCTCTGCATCACTCAGCCTATAGATTTGACAGGTTTTTTTGCATTTTCGTTCACCAGCTGTGATACAGAAATCCACTTATGTAGGGCCAATTAAATACAACCCTGATATTCAGCTTCCTAGCAGCTATCTGGTTCCTTTCTGCATTAGCCAGCTAAAAAAACAAAAGTTTTAAACTGCCTGCCCTCAAGTATCGACCCAGATGTGCTGGTAGCTCCTCAAAAGCTCCTCCCACCTTCAAGATACATCATCAGAAGGGGGTTTTCCTAGCCTTTAAACCTGAAAACTCTCTGGGCTGTTGTGGCACTGCTGCAAGAGCATTAGTCATGTTTACCAAAGATGTAGCAGTGTGGATGATTACATTTTGCTATCCATTCAGTTTACATTACTTAATTATTATCAAATATTTACATAATTACATAGATACTTACATATGCATTTGATTTTAATTGCGTATCAATGATTTTTCTGTTTGTTTTTATCAAACAAACATGGCAACAATGTAAAGGATAGAAGCCCTGAACATTATGTCAAATACTATCATATGCAAAAGTATTGGCACCCCAGGCAAGTTACATTTTGTAGATTTCCTATGTGAAAGAAATGAACATGCCCTGTACAGAGAACACACTTCTGCACATTTTATTGCACACATATTGTTTATTTGCTCAGTTCAAGATATTAACAATATTTTGAACTCATTGTGCACTAAAATTTGCACAAGTACTTCCAGCAGCTTAGAGTAAAGTGAGTTCCATTGCTGCTTTGCAACAGGTAGAACACTTTTCAGTCAGTCAGATTGGGTGGTGGGAGCTAACAGGATGCTTTCACTGTGTAAGGGTTCAGCTGCAGCAGCTTATTCACCATATTTAGTAGTAATTGTGCAGGTGTTTTCCTGCATCCTCATTGTTGTATGTTCTCTTCTTACCCCTTTTAGACCCTGTCAAGAGGATGAATGGGAGCTATGGTTACATCGGCCTTTTTGGAGTGATCATCCTGTCCATTTCGGTTGCCCTGCAACTCCTTGGAGTCATTTAAAAGCCTCTGAGCACTGATTTCATTCATAGCACTGACCAAGTGGGTTTTTTTTCTAAAGGTATTTTCTTTCTAGTTTTAATATAATTTCATTCTTTCCTTTCCACAGAATGTGAAATTGAATTGCTTCTGTAGACCACTGTTTGGGTGTTTGGTTAAAACATGTCATGTCTATCACATTAACATGTATGTCATCTTATTCCAAATAAAAAAACTAATCTGGGTTTGAAAGATGTTGTTTGGCTGAGTTTCTCACTGGGCTTTTTAACACAAATCCATGAAAATTCAATATAATCTAATTGCTATTTTTCCCCACATTTGTTGCATTGCATTTGAACACAATTTAGGTGGTGGCAAATGATAAAAAATATTATTATTATTATTTTTTTAGATTATTATCATTATTATTATTATTAAATAATATTTAGTTGTTGAGGCTTCTGTGTAATTTTCTGTGAAATTATGTTCATCAGTGTACTTTTAAGTACTGATAATATACAAAGTGTGCTCAGAAAAGCATATGAAGTAATTTGCATACCCCAGCTATGAATGTGTTTTCTTGGTTTCATCCTTTGCTCTTCAATCAGGTTATTTCTACCTTTTCGTTTGGTGTTAGTGGGTTTCAACCATCACAGAGACTATGAACCAGCAGTAAAATATTTGGATTCAATTATTTGGCACTGTAACCCAACATTTTGGTGCTTCTACACTGGCTCTGGAACTTCTCTAGTCAGGAGACTCCTCACAACAGTGCAAGACCTGGAAGACCAAAACCGTCCCCGTAAGATGAACAGCACTTAAAGCTTTCAATCTAGAGAGAAAGGAGAAAATTCCACTCAACTCCACTCTTGCTTCAGATCTGAAAAGATCCACAGATGTTTCTGTCCATCCTTCTACTGTGAGAAGACGACTCAACATTGAGAAAAGTAAATAGACATAAAAGAAGAACATTTGTGGTCGTTTTTCATAGACCTTGTCAAAGACCTTAAACCTACTAAGTTCCTTCTAAGTTCCTTATATCTATCCCAGAAACAAGGAACTTGTACATAAGAAGCAGTTTCAGCAGCCAGCTCAAACTGAAAGTGCATCAGTCACAAAAACACAAAATTATTTAACAGGCCGTTTTGTGGGAAATATTAAAAATCATGACAAATGGGTGTGCTGTACAAAAGTCAATATGGTGTAATAATGAGTTGTCCTTCACACTATTTATGTTGGTAGAGCCAAAGTATTGAGTCCACAGTATGAACCTTTAATGGTATGGACCTTGTGGTCATTAGGTCCAGTTATTGCTCTGCATAGAATGGATCATTATGAAGCCCTTTAGGTATGTTAGAGCAAACGTATAGCGATCAGGCATAACATTATGACCGGCTCCTTGTTTCTACGCTCATTGTCCATTTGATCAGCTCCACTTACTATATAGGTGCACTTTGTAGTTCTACAGTTACAGACTGTAGTCCATCTGTTTCTCTGCATACTTTGTAAGCCCCCTTTTACCCTGTTCTTCAGTGGTCAGGACCACCATGGACCCTCACAGAGCAAGTACTATTTGGGTGGTGGATCATTCTCCGCACTGCAGTAACACTGATGTCGTGGTGGTGTGTTAGCGTGTGTTGCGCTGGTCTGAGTGGATCAGACACAGCAGTGCTGCTGGAGTTTTTAAACACGGTGTCCACTCACTGTCCACTCCATTAGACACTCCTACCTTGTCAGTCCACCTTGTAGATGTAAAGTCAGAGACGATAGCTCATCTGCTGCTGCACAGTTTGTGTCGGTCATCCTCTAGTCCTTCATCAGTGGTCACAGGACGCTGTTGTCTGGATATTTTTGGTTGGTGGACGATTCTCAGTCCAGCAGTGACACTTAGGTGTTTAAAACTCTAGCAGCACTGCTGTGTCTGATCCACTCAGACCAGCGCAACACACACTAACACACCACCCCCACGTCAGTGTTACTGCAGTGCTGAGAATGATCCACCACCCAAATAGTACCTGCTCTGTGAGGGTCCATGGGGGTCCTGACCACTGAAGAACAGCGTAAAAGGGGGCTAACAAAATATGCGGAGAAACAGATGAACTACAGTCCGTAATTGTAGAACTACACCTACATAGTAAGTGGAGCTGATAAAGTGGACAATGAGCGTAGAAACAAGGAAGTCGTCATAATGTTATACCTGATCGGTGTATATGCAATGGATCAAATCACTATGACCCTGGGTTGATAACCTGAGGGGCAGTCTGGGAAATGGAGTCCAAAGTCAAATGAGTTCTCTGCGCATGCGCGAGACCGAACCTCGGAGGAAGCGAGAGCTTTGTTTGCGGGTGATAAAATACAGCAAGGTGAGCAAAACTGGGATGGCTGACATTTGAAACGACTTAGTATAACATGCATTTTAGCTGGCTGTGAGATTCGAGTAGTCGAGGTAAACTCGGTGTTTTCTCAGCCGCTTAGTGAAAGAGGGATAAGAGTGAAACGTTGGCAACAATATCGCGTTAGCCTGCTTAGCCAGCTAGCCAACCTAGCTACGTTGGACAGGTTTGCCCAGATATGTCTGTTTGCTGCCTGATAGCTTTGTTTACAGCGTTACCGTGTGATGTACAGAATCATACTGTTTTATCTCTGAGGCTTAACGTTGTGTTTGCTCACTGTAGTCGTCGACCTTCAGCATTAGATAAAGATGAAGTCGAGTTTTTAGTCAGCGTCTTGTTCTAATTTCCCCGTTCCACCTTAAGCGGCGCCGCAGTTATGATCTGCGCCACAGCCGCCAGACTGTAACTGCCGCACCATTTAAGGTGGAACGGGGAAAATAGAACAAGAAACTGGCGAATTGACATCAGCTCGCTTGTGTATGTTTGCCCAGCTGCGACTGACTTCTCAACTGTCTAAACTTCAGTATTAATTTCGGTTATTAAACGCGGTTGTGTAGTCAGTAGAAGTAGAAATATAACTGTATGTCTTTACGCCACTCTCTGTAGTTTGTGTCCAGGCTTGTGTGTATATGGTTCAGGCTTTGCTGTGAAAATGAACCCATTGTTCGGCTTCTTCCTGGAACATGTTACTCTCGTCTGATTTGCCTTTTTTCTGTTCTCTAAAGGTCGAACTGACTGGTGTAAACCGGAAAAAAACATATTCTGCAGATTGTTAATATCCGTGAATACAGTCTATCTGATGATATATGTGACTACAGTTGGTCTGAATGGTGATGCTTTAAATGTTTGTTTGGCGATATTATTTACACTCTTAAAAAAAAAGATGATGCATGCTTAAATGGTTCTGTGCGTGGTGAAATTGTTCTTTAGATTGATGGAGAATGTGTGTATGGTTCAAGAACCTTTTTTAAAATGGTTCTGTATAGCACCCGAAAGGGTTCTGCTGTTGTTATGATGTCAAGCTTGTGACAATAGAAGAACCCTTTTTGGTGCTATATAGAAAAAAGGTTGTGTATATAACCATACAGAACACATTATCCATCATCAGCCATTGAAACATGCATATAGTTCTTTGAGTGGTCATGGTTCTGTATAGCACCATGGTCTTTACTGAAGAACCCTTGAAGAACCATGTGTTTTAAGAGTGTATAGCAGGAAATTTGATATTGGCATGCTGTGATATTGCTATTAAGCAACATTTCTAGTGGATTTATATGATACTCGTAAAATTGCAATGTCCCCATTGCCGAACTGTTTTGTAGATGAAGTTACGTTTTGTGTGCTCATGGTGTCCAGAGCCTAACGGGAAACTAGATAATTGTGTGTCACTTACTGACTGCTTCAGATGGTTTTGAAAGAACAGGCCAAATCTATAAAAATGAAATAAATATTAAGTTTCCTTCTGGAAATGTGCTTTGATTTTGGAGTAATTTTAAGAGAATTAGAGCAACAAAATAACCGAAAACCTGGTCTTCAAAATGGCAATTTTTACAAGAGAAGGAAAAACAATATCCAAGTATTCCAAGTGTTTTTGGACCATTTTCATTGGTCCACGTATCATTTAACTTCTGGACAATGTAAAGGGCAGCTGGTATTGTCAAACTTGTAAACATCTTAGGTAGTGGCAAATAGTCAGGGGACTCCTCACAACAGTGCAAGACCTGGAAGACCAAAACTGTATCAGATAAACAGCACTTTTATCTTTGACAGAGAGGAGAAAATCAAGCTGCTTCAGATCTGAAAAAATCCACAGTTGTTTCTGTCCATCCTTCCACTGTGAGAAGACAACTCAACACTGAGAGAAGTAAATAGACATAAAAGAAGAACATTTGTTTTTCATAGACCTTGTCAAAGACCCTAAACCTACTAAGTTCCTTCTAAGTTCCTTATATCCATCCCAGAAACAAGGAACTTGTATATAAGAAGCAGTTTCAGCAGCCAGATCAAACACAAAATTAACTGTTAAGTTTCCTTCTGGAAATTTGCTTTGATTTTGGAGTAATTTTAAGGAAATTAGAGCAACAAAATAATCCAAAACCTGGTCTTCAAAATGGCAATTTTGAGAGAACGAAAAGAGAAGGAAAAAAATCTATACATTTTAATGTAAGTTAATGTATTCCAAGTGTTTTTGGGCCATTTTCATTGGTCCATTCATCATTAAATTTCTGGACAATGTATAGGGCAGCTGGTGTTGTCAGATTATTTAAAAGAAAAACAAAGGAAAGAAAAACAAGATACAAGGTTTTACTCTGACAGCGATGATGATACACGTATATACCTTGATGCTGATTTCTTTAAGGACCACCCAACACTGTGTCTTATTTTTTTATGTTTCAGGAAAATGTCAGGGTTCCTGGATGGCATCAGATGTGGTGACTGTGAGTGTAATGTTGACTGGGGAGAGAAGAGGAACACCATTGCCTCGATAGCGGCTGGCGTGTTGGTATGATGATTTCAAATCCTATTTCGTGTAGCCTGATTTAGTTAAATGTTGCTTTGATCAATCAGTTGGTTGTAATTGTCCAACCTTAATCATAATAAAGTCACTCATCTTCTTTTTATCCTGAGTTGCAAATCAACATATGATGTGATGAAATCCACCCTGATCACATCGTTCAAGATAACCAGGAGTCAACTTGTTTGTAGTTCTTCACAGGGTGGTGGATCATAATTGACGCTGCAATTATGTACCCCAAAGAGGACCAGTTTCACCATGCTTATCACACCTGCGGAGTCATAGCCACAATAGCATTTCTAATGTAAGTCATCTCTGACACACCCTTCTCTTATTGCCTTTGGCTCAACAAAGCATAGATATGTCCTGTTGTGGGCTGGGCTTATAACAAGAACAGCTCGGGCTCATATTAAACATTAAAGAAACTTGCCCTAGATATTTCTGGCTGTTATCTAGCAGAGATAGTGTTATATGGGACAGTCTGATAAATGCTATCGTGTGATTTATTTATTTGATAACATAGAATTTCTCAGTTGGACTGACATGTTTTCTTCTCCTGTGTTGTATGCAGGATCAATGCAGTGTCCAATGGACAGGTGAGAGGTGACAGCTACAGCGAAGGCTGCATGGGACAGACAGGTATGTGTTTATGTATGAGTGCCGGCAGACATTCGCCAGAAAATAGTGTAGTGCAATTTATTTTGCTGTTCATACGTCTCATGTTAAAGGAGTAATTGGGTTATGTTAATGATTGACCGGTAATCACAGCAGCTACAAACTAACAATTCACAACTTCTGCAAACTGAACCGCATCTTTGAAAATGAAACTAACTCCAGTACACAACTAACAAGGATTCAACATTAGTTAGTAAAGGATACTTATTTCATTTACGCAAGCAAAAGCAGACACAAAACTTATGAATGAACTTCACTTTGTGCTCAGTTTCTCCAGAAAGAACTGGATTGTTTTTCTCCAGTGCAGCAAGATACCTACAAACAAATAATAATACCTAAATAGGAAACAAGAGAACTGCTAGAGAACATGTTTACCACATGCTTGATTCTGTAAAATGTCGCTCTCTCAGACTTAAAAGCAGTTTTAGCTTCACTCACTTCCTAAATTCATAGATGTAGATACAGCTATCACAGTATCAATACAGATATCGCAAGTATATATCGATATTTTGAACTCAGCCCTAGGCCTACGGTGTCTCTGCACTTAATTAAAAGAACAGAAAACCTCTTGACTCCAGACTTTATTAGAATTGAAGCCACTGAAACAGATAGAGATTGGTTTGAAAAAAGCTGCGGTATTCTTTTAATTTTTCTCAGTTGTTGAGTTGCTTTTCTTTTTTCAGGGGCATCATTAGATTTCTACACCAAGTTACAACTGTCAGGGCTGTATGTACAATTCTTCAGCATGTAACGCTGGTGCTATAAAAGTTGCAAGCATTGTGGCATGAATTCAGATTTTTTAGCAGATAGAGATAAAAAATGACATGTTTCTAAAAAGTGTAAATCTCAATAAGTGGCACAAATTGTCATTTTAACTGTGAAAAAGAAGTGTTTATAAATGCTCATATTGTGAAATTTACAGAGGATTAGTTTATGGTATATATGAATTGTTCAGATTCCCCACAAGGGGGCGCTGTTAGCACCTAAGTAGCGTTTGTTTTTCTGCATCTTTGCATTCAAGGAAACCCACAACAGTAGTAATGCATGTATCATTAGAAATTATGAAATGAAATAGTTTATTACCTGAAGTTAAGACTCAGTGTTATTAAAATATAAGTGATTTTTTTTTCATTTAGTCAGCTTATTCTTAAGAAACAGGCTATATATTATTACCAGATGGACTACAACTACCATAAACTCCAAAACGTAACCCGCAGCCAAGCTCACATGACTACGCTGAGCAGATGACTTGAGCAGCTGAGAAATGTTGTTTGATGTTACACACGTCACATAATTGGAACAGCTCAGAAATAATTGGCTGAATAATTGACCACAACTTCCATAAGCACTTGAACTCGCTATAATTTTTGAATGAAGATGCGCACACTCGCACACGAAGGTCTGTTACATGCATGTGATCTTTTATGTATTCACACAGGATTAACTTCTTCTAGCATGTGTAACAATATTATCACATTTTTCAGTGCTGACTGTACACGGAAGTAGAATAACAGCTGTGCGTTAATAAGCTGGCCTGAGCAGACAAACCTGCTTGGCCTACTTTGCAGAGGAATAGGACTGTGGAGTGCGCGTGAGAAGTGTCAGCTGATTGAGATTGGGTGTCTGCAGTGGGGGGTTTGGGGCTGACATTTTTTGTTGCATGTGTGCGCACAGACATACTTTAAGAGAGCAGTGCTGGGCAAACATAAAAAATAGGTAGCATAACTTGATTGTTTGTTTTTGATTCGGATGTTTTCTGTTTTTTTCTCTTATGATGACACAAAATGGAACCTTCCTGTTATTGCAGGGGTGTCCAGTCGTATCTGCAAAGGGCCGGTGTGGGTGCAGGTTTTCGTTCCAAACAAGAAGAGCACATCTGATTCCACACGTTTAATCAGTCAGTCTCAGTCTGTCAACAACTGATCATGTGTGCTCTGCTTTGTTGCAACGAAAACCTGCAGCCACGCAGCCCCTTTGTGGATAAGATTGAACACCCCTGCGGCATTGTAACCAGAAATAAACCCAAAGTGCAATAAATATAAATTAAGAAATCCACAAGAGCAACTAATGCTTCTCTACTGTTACTAATAAAGGGCTGCTGAATTAGTTCTTATATTGGACGGCCATGATAGAGCTTTGTTTTCTGGTAGTATTGGAATTACTTGAGACTTTTCAATTGCTTTTAAACTGAGGTATGCTGTCTTGTACTTCAGCTCATGTCAGCCTGCATTTCATCGGGAATGGTGTAACGTGCAACTGCAACTGAAACTAGTGGTTTAGACTTGAATAATAAGCATAGATTGCATGCATTCAGTTGGGGTTGGGCGGTATAACGGTAGTGATGTAGACTGCAGGGGTTTAAAACTGATGCTCGTATTTGAATGACAGTATTTTAAAATCATGCTGTGTCAAATTTCTATTCCATGTCTGAACAGCCAGATATTCCACCTGTTTATATTTTAGAGGGGCTCACTGGTGGTATGGGAGACTAGAGCTGATCCAAAGAGGGGGGAAAAAACAGCCTCAGAGCCAAACTGATAGCTGCAAACACCAGCAGAATCTTCAATTTCAGCTTTCACTCTAACATCAGTCTCTCTAACTTTGCGCTCTCAGATTTCCTCTAAACGGGTGTCATTTTAGCATCAGTTAGTTGGAACCAGTCCTGTGCTCTGGTGTGTGGTGTGTTTGGCCTGCTAATGATGTTGTTAGCTTGTCCAAAACTCTAAAGTCCTAAACACCACAGAGCAGGTTTGATTTCGGCTTTCTGTCACTCCAGCACCGGTCACTCGACTTTAGACATTAGTTTATGTCATCTAAACTTGGATCAGAGCACCAGTTAGTCAGAATCAAACCTGTACTGTGCTGTCTGGCACTTTTTGTGTCTGTAGCCTGCTCGCTAAGCTAACATCAAGTTAGCTAATCAGGTGACAGATTCAAACGCCCATCTGTTTCTTCAGTGCAGGTTAAATGGCTTCACTCCCTCAGATTTGTGCTTAAGTTTGCGAGAATCAACCATGTGGTGAGCAGAGGTGTTATCATGCTACCTAAGCTAATGCTAGCCAGTTCCTGTTTTGCAATTTTTATGTAGGTGACTTGATATGTATTGAATGATGGCTTGAAAGTTGTACACAGCACTGACTTATTTGCTGACAATGTAGATGAACTAACCTTTCATTATATTAGTTTTACGTGTGTGATGTTAAGTCACTGCTCCTCTGTAGGCAAAGCTATGTAACATGGTTCAGTTTAGTGTGTATCTGTTGACTGCATGTTATTTGTACCATGTGATTCTGCAGGTGCCAGAGTGTGGCTCTTCATTGGCTTCATGTTGGCCTTTGGCTCTCTCATCGCTTCCATGTGGATTCTGTTTGGAGGTTTCGTCGTGGCTTGTAAGCTTTTGTTCTGTGCTGCACTTCTCTATTATATTTTCATGTAGGCAATACATTAGCATAATCAGTCCGTTGCCGGAAGCCACAATCTGTGATTTAACCATTATTATTTAATCTGCTTAGCTCTTGCTGAATTATTCAAATGTGCACTTTTCTTATTTGTTGTTGTTGTTTTTTTTTATCAACAGCGAAGGAAACAGTGTACCCTGGAATTGCCGTTTTCTTCCAGAATGCATTCATCTTCTTTGGGTATGTTCTCAACAATGTGAAAATGCAAGAGTGTAAATGAGAATTTCTGAAATATGGTTTTTCATCTTTATAAATGATTGAAATTTAGATCAAATTCCTGTCATAAAATCATGGCCTCATTTTTTTAATGGAATGTATGGTACACAGCACAAGTATAAGTTAAAATCACATTAACTTTACATTTTATATATCAGTTTTAGGGCTGCAAGCAACAGTTATTATAATCAATGAATTTTTCGACTGTGCGATTAATCGACTGATTGACCCATTATGCCTTTTGCGGTTTTCTCTCACTTTGCTCCATCACAGCACCACCATCATTTAAATGCCCAATCTAAATCTTCAGTGTTGACGTGCACGTTCATGAGAAAGTCCAGAGTGCCGCAGGGCTATCTGAGGTGGTGTTTACATTGTACACGTTTTGAGGACTGAGGTGCCTTTTTTCTATTGTTTACAATGTAAGAGATACATCACTGTTTTTAGTACTGGCTGCCTCACATTTTATGTGTCCTGTGCAGCTTTTTTTTTGTATGAAGCACTCAAGGGCAGGCCTTCAGTGACAGTTGCAGTCGCTAAGTACTCTGATCTGTACGATTTCACTATTATTTAATAGTAGATTGCTTTCTAGGCCGATCATGAACATGAAATTTTAGATGATGGCTATTTGCAATATAGACAGTTGTGGTTAACATTTTTTTTTCCATTGTGTGCAACAATTAAAAGTAGAAGCTCAAATAACAAAATAATTGCAGTTAGCTCAAATAATTGCAGTCAGGCAATTATGTAATAATTGTGACAGGCATACAAGTGACAGTTTTCTGCCTGTACATACTGAAGCCACAACAAGCTAGCCCAGCTGATTGACATTTATGATGCTGTTGCTTAGCAACAGAAAGACATGTAGCCAGAAGCAGCATTCAAAAAAGCATAGCACGATCCTCAAAGAAAAAAAAGTGCATTGTGCCACCATCTTCAGAAAAAAGTGCACTGTGAACTGCCCCAGTTCGCTCGGTCATCTGGGCTGTAATACTGACTTTTTTAAGAACTTCCAGAGACTCCGCTTCAGCAGACTTTGCTTGAGGGGAGTTCCAAAAAAAATTATAAATTAAAATTTTAAAAGACAGAGAGTGTAACACACAATTTTTGAGCAAACGTGACGCTTTTGCAGTAACATCAACTACAGAAGTGAGTCAAGCTGAAGTAATTTGTACACTCGCACCCATGCAGCCTCACATATGTAGTGACATTCACCACAAAACGTATACACTCAAAAATGATGGTCCTTCGAGGGTTCTTTAGTAAAGAAAATGGTTCTGTATAGAACCATGAACACTCAAAGAACCCTGTGCATGATTAAAGGGTATATATATATATATATATATATACACTCAAGCTTGACACAATAGAAGAACCCTTTTTGGTGCTATATAGAGCCCTTTTCAAAAAGGTTCTATATTGAACCATATTCAACACATTCTCCATCAATCTAAAAACCCTTGAAGAATCCGCTCTTCACAAAACCAGGGAGCTAGCCGTATGTCTGGAGAATTATAGTTTATTCCTTGCGCGTAGGTACCCAGACACTTAGCCTGCCTGTAAGACAATGGGCTGATGCAGTTTTATAGCTGGACTGCTGCCAAGATTAGGCCCAGCCTATACATGACAAGTGACAGGTGTGACAGACATGACGATATAAACAAAAAGACAGAACACAATTCTAAATACAACCACAGTACAGGCACACAATACTGAATATAAGGACATATAACACAGCACTAAACACGATGCGGTGCTATACATTCCCTCACCTTTCACGATGCAAAGAAGCCTTTAATCATAAAAAGCTTTCTTTAAGTTCTTTATAGAACCATTTTTTTTTTTTACTAAAGAACCCTTGACGAAACATAATTTTTAAGTATGTAGGTCCAAAGTCAGTAATACTGGGAGCTTAGAGTCGAGCGATTTTGATTGGGCAGTCGTCTCATCTGTTTAACATGCAGTTTCTTCCTTTATGGCGCAGTGATACAGTAGAGGCCATATTGCCCTCTACACCTCCTGTAGTGTATTGGAGTCTGGCAGAATGACTGCATGTGTCATGTGAAAACTGTAGAGCAAGGATTCTCAACCTTTTGCAACTCGAAGCCTAACCAACCACCAAAGCTTTACAGCCCACAAGAAGATTTAATCGGCCCAAGCATATCAGATGCAAACAAATATATAACTCAATAATCAGTGCAGCCTATCAAAACTGCATAGTCACGCTATATAATAAACATCACAAAAATCCTACCATTTTCTGTTTATAGCCGTCCATCCATGATGAATTCTGTACCGTCAAAAAGAGAAACAGTCTACATTGACTATATACCTACACTGAATATAAACCTGTCTAGCTAGCAGTGTTGGTCATGCATTTTGTCAGACCAATCACTGAGCTCGACCTAAATATTTAGGTGTTTTTGATGTTTAATTATAATAATTATCACAACATTAATATTTTGCGTTTTTAAAATCAGTAGTGTGGTTCAGTGTCTGTATGTGGTTGAAAAAAAAAAGAAAAATGACTGTCAGTGCCCCCTTTAGCAGTACCACCATGGACCTGCTGTAGACGTGACAACTGCCACAGACATTAAAGGGCACTTTCGTTTTTAAATAAATTATGCTTAAACTTTTTTTTTTTTCTTTTTCAATGATTAATGTTGACTATGTCTACACAACTTTGAGTAGTCATTACCATCCTAATCACTTTTATATGCCTTTAATGCTCTGTATTTCTGCTTTTTCTGCCTTTAGGGGTCTGGTGTTCAAGTTCGGACGTACAGAGGACCTTTGGCAGTGAAAAGGAACTCTCCCTGACCTGAATAAGCCCGGAGTCTGTTGATACTTCTCTTTTTTTTCTCTTGTCTTTTTTTTTTTTCAACTGTTAAATATACTTACTCTTCCCATGTACAAATGCCAGTGTTCTTTAGCCATGTGTCAACAGCTTGAGCTCTCTAATAAACAGTGAGGAGTTTCTGCTGTTCAGCACACCAGGAGCTGTTTTAGAACATCTTGAATTTTTTAAAAGGAGAATTCCAGTTTTTCAAAATATCTGCATTGTTCAGCGTTTTAGATGTAAACAAAGTCAAAGTGGTTTGATGTAAAACTGCATTGTAGTGAAACTTTGATTGCTATACACACATTTTTTCCCCACAGTGGCACTGAAAGGAACCAGGATACATAATGTCTACCATGCAAACATAGCCTTTTTATATACTATCCCAAATGACCATTGATTCACCTCATCTTTTTAGTTATTATATGTAATTATAATGGTAAAATAGTGGTAAATTTGAAAATATCAATTTCTTTTGGGTACTGTTTTGCCTTACAGCTCTCTGCATGCACCTCTTCACCTGTTTTAGGCCAAACCTTTTGAAAACTATTGTAAAAGAATATCCCACATATTCAGACAGCCATTTCATGTAATAACATTTTGCGAGGTAGCTTTTAGAGGCATTGTATTTTTTGGATGTTCACAGTTATGAACTCTCTAGAACAGCATATTTCACATTAAACCACTCTTACATCTTATCAGTTTAATTGTGCAGACATTTTGAAAATTGGTGACCACAGCCTGTATTCCCAAAGCTTCTCAGGATGCTGACTTAGGATCAGATTCCTCTTGTTTACTGACTTTATTGTAGGGCTGAACGACTTTGGGGAAATATGTAATTACGATTTTTGTGATTGATATTATGACTGCGATTTAAATTGGGATTATTTTTGATGAATTAAGATCCAGACCTGTTGTTTTGGTCAAGAAGACGATCAAATGTCATAATCATATTTAATCATATTTATTAAAAATCATATTTATTATTATATTTTTTTTGGATATGAGGCTTGAACACTGAACATAGTGTGCCAGACTGCCAGTTAGTCATGGTGGTGATGTCACAGCACATGGGTATTTGGTTGCTTTTGAACTCGTCTACAGGCAGTTCATGAGCTCAGTGCTATTAGGTTAAATTTCCCCACTTAAAACTCAGTAATGTTTATCACGTAAACTGTAGCTCTTTCAAATCCAATATTAATCTTTCAGCTCTGCTTTACCAACATGAACAGATCCTAGATCAGCACTCCTACTCCGAGAAGCTTCTTGAATTCAGGTATTGGATCTTTTGGCCATAAAAGGATGGCATAGCGAACAAGATGTTTAGTGCAGCAAGCCCTCCACATTTAGCTGATTCACAAGCTGCACACCTTTTACCAGTACTGCACTGATCTTTCGTAGCTACTGTTCCCTCAGATTCTGCTTACTTTCGTGCAATATTTACTCAAATCACACTCTGTGGGTGTGGTCTGAGGGAGCGTCCTTCACAGTGGTTTCATTGGGATATTTCAGGTGTAGTCTACCTATGAGTGAGAGCGTTTTCTCATTTCCTTTGTAATGTGGTAGTTTCCTATGGCAGGCTGAGGGGGAAGTGATGTGATGAGGTCTGTTTTTGATACTCCTGTATGTTCTGTGTGAGAAGTGTAACATACTGATTGTGAAGCTGCATCTAACCACATTTATTGATCAGCCAAATTGAACTGTAAAGCAGGATTTCATTGTAAAGCTAGCTTAAAAAAAATGCTATTTCCATTTTCCGCTTAGTTCTCTTAGTTCATTGTGACGTCATTTTTAATAAACAAATGCACCACCAGATATATTTGTCATTTTAAGTGGAGTAGTCTTGCATCCCTCAGAATAATCTCTACCAATGTTATGCTAATGCTAACTGAATTCAGAACAAATGCAACAGAATCTCGTGATATGTGCCCCTTCTTGTGATTCCAATTATATATAGTATCTTTTGTTGATCGAGCGGCACTGAAGATTACGTTCCCCTTTTTTTTGCTCTTTGTAATCTTCTCAGATATGTCTATTTTGTACTCTTGAGTCATGTTCTGTAGCTTTTAGCTTTAAGTTTGCACTCTATTTATGTAATCCGGCTGCTGTACAGACTAGATGATAAGTACAAGCACAATTTCCTTTTTCCGTAGTCGGGTCGAGAGCCGACATCGATGGGAGAAAGCAGCCTTTTCAGCACCAATGACTTGGTGGTGTTTGTTACTTAGAAACACTAAACGAATGTAAGCTTATGTATTTCGTCTATACTTTTTGTGACAAATAAGTAAAGATATTTCAGTCGCTAACTGTATCTGTCAAAGCAAATAAAATTATTGGAAGTTGGCACATAAAGTTTTCAGTTTGCAGCAATGATGTTTCCATGTCTGTGGTGAAGTGGTATTAGAAGACCCATCAGAGAAGGCTTAATGATTTCTGTAATTGATAGTTCATTTTTATTTAACATAATCTTCATATGTGTTGCATTTAAAAGCAGAAATAGTCTTGTTTTATTGTTATATACTATTGGTTGGAAACAAGAGGGTTAAAACCTTGAAACTGCCAACAGAAAATGGTGTAATCTGAATATTTTTGTCTACGTGGTGTCTAGGTAGGCATAGCTAAGTGAGCTCTTCCATTGGTTAGGACTTCAGGAGCTGAAGTGAAGACCTAACGTGTTTGATTAACTACCAACATAATGAGGAAATGATGGTTATTCAACCCATCACATTCTGATTCATAATAGGTGTAGTAAGAAATGACACTGTAGGCCTTATGGAAGTCCTAGATATGTCACTCACTGAGAGTTTGAGAACTAACCAGGTTTCAGTCAGTGTCTTTTACAAGCTTTAAATGTCCATGTTTATGCTAGAAATGGCAAAAATATTTGTGTGCATTATTATTAGCTCAGCGCTAACATAATACTAATGATCCTGTAAGCCACAGGTTCCCAGCCCCAGTCCTGAAGTGCCCTCTGCACGTTTTTTGTGTTTTCCTGCTTTAAAACACCCACTTTAACTAAGGCAGGGGTCAGCAACATGCGGCTCTTTTACTGCCCTGTTTCGGCTCCACAGCAGAATTAGATTGTTAGGTAAAAATAAAAATCCTCCTTTGCAGTAAAATAAAGCTCTGCTGATCGTTCAACACAGTTTTAACAATAAACGGTCTTAAACGCTGGAGTTAATGTAGCCTATAACTGCTAATTCACCAACATTTAACCCTGAAGACTGGCGCCCAGACGGCAGGTCACCATAGCAACAGTCTCGCCTAGCTAGTAGCGAACGAAAAGGCAAAGAGAAAGATTTAAGACAGACATTGATAATTTGGAGACAAACAGACTTAGTCACATTTATAATCACTCCAGCTGGTCTTCAGGTTCGAGAAACTGTCGAACACTGAAAAATCGCGAAGCTGAAGTCAGCTCCTTCTTCTCCAGATTCTTGTTCGAATTTTCCCACTCCACCTTAAATGGCACAGCAGTTACATTCTGGCACCTCAGGCACCATTTAAGGTGGAACGGGAAAATTTGAACAAGAAGCTGGAGAATGAGAAGCGACTTCAGCCTCATAAAACGTCAAACGTTGAGAGACATTTAACAAGAAGCTTTTCTACTTTTGAGGAAAAGTTTCCTGCCAGAGATGCGAGAAAAGCAGCTACAGCTGAGCTAAAGCTTAAAGCAGAGTAAAACAAGTCATTTATATTTTTAGCCTATACCAGTACATTAACACATACCGAAACGTGTTTACAACCACGATGGCAAAACGGACATTAAATGTTGTGGCTCCCAAGGTGGTTTGATTTTTGTTGAAAGGACAAAATGGCTCTTCTTAACAGTTGGGTTGCGACGCCCTGAACTAAGGAAAGGCTTGTTAATGAGTTAATTAGTTAGATCAGGTGTGTTGGGAGCAGGGAAAACACTAAAATGTGCAGGGCAGGGGGTACCAGGACCAGGGCTGGGAGCCACTGCCGTAGAGGATTTAGCAGAAATTAATATTATTGTAGAGGGTTGTTCTTATAGAATGCAGTTCATTGCAATGGACAATTATTTTACTATACTGAACAGAAGACCCATGAACTCAGAACAAGCTTCTGCTCATCAGCTTCTATTATAAACATTTTAAATCAACAGTTTTTCTGTTTATTTACTCAATTATCGGTTGTATGTTACAGAAGGGTCAAGAAAGGGAGATTAGGTTGAAAGTATTCCTTTAATGAATCAGAAATTGACCAAGTTTGATTACTACAGCACAGAATAAATATACGCTAGCGTCCAAATGTTTGGAATCAGTTCAAAAGTTTGGGATCTTTTGTTTTCAAACAGTAAACAAAATGCTGTGGATAAATGTATGAAATGATTCTACAATGTTATACTATTCTACAGCTTAATGGATTTCAGCTTATTAGAAGGAAGCTGGAAAAAAGAGGGGAGTGTTAGATGTGTTCAGAATGATAAGCGGAGATGTAGATGATTCCATAGTAACTGAGAGAGTTGTATAACTTTGAGAATGAAGTTATACTGAAAGTTATATTCAGAGTGCCTTGAATTTCAAACATAGTGATCAAACCTCAAGGCAGATAACCTGTCGAGAAATGACAATAAATTAATAATTACAGTGTATTATTTATGATTTAGTAACTTTTTGCTATTCCCCAAAACATTTTGCAATGCCTTCTGCTGTCTGTCTACACTGTGTAGAGTATTATTAAATAAATTATTGAATAAAATAACATTAATATGAGAAATGATTCCAAACTTTGAGATGCCAGTGTAGCAGAAACATCTCTCTCCACTTCATATGCAAGGCAAAGTAAGGTGCCCTGGAAAGAAGCATAATCCTGCTCACAAACTGCCACAATCCAGTAAGAACAAGAGCCTTTCTATGTACACTGGCAGCATTTAAGTAATCCAATCATGCTTCATTTCAGGAAGGTTTTTGTTTGTTGTGTGAGTGAATTGCTGGTTAAATGTTTACTCAGACAAACCTACACACACATACACACACACGCACACGCACACACACACACACACACACAAAGACAGCATACAATTGTATGCAAAGGTTTGAACGCCCCATGTCAAATGTCACGCAGTGTTGATTTTCTTTGTGAAATCCTCTACAGAGAATCAACCTTTCTGCACATTTAAGTGCACAATTTCTTTTTGTTTGCTGAGTTTAACATACTAGAAAAAACTAAAATGCAAAATATGTGCAGAAGTGTGTTCTGTGTGGAGGATGTGTTCACTTACTTTCATCAGACAATCTACAGAATGTGTAATTTGACCAGGAGTGTCCAAACTTTTGCATAACACTATACAGAAAACTCAAACATATGTCATTATTAAATCCACATTTTCCTTGAATTGTCCGTTTTTTTGTTCCTCTCACTTGTGCACGATTAAATGTGGAAACTGTAAAACACAAAAAGAAAAACAAGCACGGTTTAAATACTAAGTCTCTGTGAGGGACCTTAATTTATGAATGTTCAGTAATTTATAAGGTTTTATTTACACTAAACAGGTTGAGACCTTTTGGTTGCATCTACACTGAGACAGATATGCCTAAGGGCCTTATGACCAGGGCCGTTTCTAGCCGTAAGTGGTATAAGCAGTCGCTCGGGGCCCCTGACTCTGTACTCAATAAATTATACAATGTATTTGCAGAAAAACCCAGAGATTCTTATTGTTTCAGCTCAAAATGAGTTCATTTTTAGTTGTAATTTCTATACATGCTTACAATAGAATATAAACTGGGATAAGGTGGGCTGCCCAAGTCGGATTCTGCTTAAGAACCCCTAAATGTTCAACCCCAAAACGGCCCTGCTCATGACTACATAGGGTTCAGATAAATAGAGGATAAAAATCCACACACCTCCCAGAACGTCTGGTCATCAAAGCACTTCCTGTCCTGCTGAGGTCTCCAAAGGCTCCATTTGAGGAGAATTCCTGTAGATCAAGAAAAAAAGGAAAACATTGGTAGTGTAAGGGGTGAGCGAACGCTTGAACATTATCACCTGTGTGGGATTTGGTACTGTCTGATTCTAATTTTGCATAAATTTTACTATATTTGTGTAAATTGTGTAAGAATGTCTTGTCCTTCCTCCTGTTGAAGAGGCCTCCGTTTCTTGACCCTCAGGCTGCCAACATATTAGCCAAAAGCCAAACTAAACCTTCAATAATTGCTTGGTAAACATAATACAAAGTACAACTAGATCAATTAACCATTTTTCATAGTAGCCATAAAATCCTATTCCCACCTGTTTTAAAGACATTTTAGTTCATCTATGTGTCTTTGGTCTCACTTTATTTTGAAAGTCTACTATAGACCCCTATAGATTATCTACAGGTGTTCAAATTAATAACAAACTATCTGTTGAAAACAAGCTGATTCTAAACAGTGGTGAGGTTAGGGTTAGGAGTTGGACCAGGGTAAGGGTTGGGTTTAGGTTGTTGAGGTTAAGGTTAGGGTTAGGATTAGAGTCAGGTTTAGAGTCTTAAAAAATGATGGTCAATTAGTAGATATTTAGTTGAATTTAACCTGAAAGTAAATTAAGTATCTACAAAGCATCTAAAGTGGCCTATCCAAATAAAGTGTCACTGTGATTTTTCTTCAATAACACTAAATATGAATTAAATTGTATGATGAAAATTAATAATTTAAAAAAATGGAAACGAACTGAATATTCATCTCCAGTTGTGCTGCTGGTTTTATCTCAGCCTGGCTGTCTTTATGAACAGGTGTGAATAGTTTTACAGCAGGGGGTTCTCACCCCCTCTTTTTCACCCCTCATTGCTCACTAGCAGCTCATTATAGAGTCATAGTATTTCATAGAGAGACATCAGTGCCCTAGTTAACCTCATGACATGCAGCAAAAATGTGATATGATTATTTTAATTAAAACTAGTTAAATTAAAAATTAAAACTCCGAGTTGATTTCCAAATGGCCACTAGGGCAGACCGCGAGCTGTTGCTTTGCACTGTGGTAATGGGAAGGGACCCATATTGGCCTTTACATGAAGTTTGTAGGCAAAATTGGAATCCATTATTAGGCAACCAGTGATAGTTAAAGTACTGAAAAATCTTTAGTTATAGTAATTATTATACCCTAGAAATTACTCTAGTAAACAAAGTGACTATTTATTTGAGTTTTCCTCAAATTAAAGCTTGAAATGCCAGACAGCACAATTTCCCTGAACATGCATGCAGTACAGAAAATGTACTAGAGCAGAAATGCTCTTTTCATCGTGATAACTACAGTGGAACGCAAATGAAACTTGCCAAGGACAGAATTAGCCAAGTAATGTTACAGTGCTACAGATACACTGTTAAACAGTGTCACACCTCAACAGCCTATTAGTATGATGATGTAGGAGAGCTCTGTTAGTATAAACATACCTGTGATGATGCCCAAAGTCAGGCTCATGCTGACTGTCATGACCAATATACAGATGTTATGCACTGCAAACCTGACAGCACTGAGAATAAAACACAATATAAATACAGCACTCAATACACAGCATGGTTATACATTAACACTGGCTTTGTATGCCATGTACAGTACTGTACAAAGTCAGATATCATCCTTCATTTATTTAACTAAAAAATAATCAACCATAAAGTTCATTTTTCAGGAGTTTCCAAAACTGGAGGTCAAAAAAATTATCGAAAGATACAGAGAAAGTGGGACTCCTAACAACCATGCAAGGCCTGGTAGACCACCAGACCTGTCCCCTTCAGATAAACAGTAAGAGTGTGAGATCAGATAAACTGTGAGAAGAGAACTCAGCGCTTTGGGTCAGAAAGGATGTGAAGCTGTCAAGAAGCCCTTACTTAGAAAAAAAAACAGACAAAAAAGTGAGTTAGATCTCATTATTTTGAAGCAAGTTTGTCTCAAAGTCTGAAACTCAGTGTGGAACATTAAGAATTGTTGCTAAAGAAACACATTTGCAAATTAAACAATGAAGCTGCAGAACAATGGACTGTCCACCACAGAGTCCAGACCTCAATATCACTGAATGTGTCTGGATTTCTGGGATTGTGAGAAGCAAAAAATGCAACCAGCTTCTAAAACTGAACTTTGGAGGTATGGAAAAACATCCCTGCAGATTTCTTTAAAAAACTGAACACAAGTCTTCTGAAAATAATGGAAGCTGTAATAAAGGTGAAGAGTGGACAAAAATGATATTTAGTTGCTTGTGCTTGTTTGTAATTTTCAGTTCAATATGTTTAAGTGGAAAGTCAATAAATGAAGGGTGGTCTCTGACTTTTGCACAGTACTGTATACATACAGAACTGAGGTGATAGATCCAAATAACAAAAACTTACAGTGTGGTGTCATTAGATCTGGGTAGCCATATGACAACATAGGCAAACCATCCCAGAATTCCTGGAATGGCGTGTACATTCAGGACACCGCGGGTGTCATGGCACTCGAAAGCAAACTGGACATGGCCCTAAAAGAGAGAAATGCTTATTGATGCTGGACTACACACAAATGTATCTTTTTCCCATTAAGGTATTTAAGTTCTCTTCCTTTTTCAAATTTATACCAATATATTATACACTCACTGGCCACTTTATTAGAAACACCTACCTTATGGGTTTACTACATAGAGGTACAGTTGTGCCCTAACAAATATAAAACACAAATTCTTCTTCTATTAACTTCATATTAGAAGGTCAATGAACTCAAAATGTTGTTAGATTTGAAGGATTTTGATTTTTTATCCTATAGTTTCATTTTTAATTAAAAAATCTTTATTCAAAAAAATGCTGGTCCATGTTCCAAGTCACTACTGAAACACAGTGTTTCACTTCTCTGAAACAGAGTTTTAGTCTGTAGGCAGAGCCTTATTTTAGTCATGCCTTTGCATTTTAGAGCTGGAAGTGAGACTGAAACCCTGTCCCTTATGGCCACATGGTGAGCAGATCTCTTAGATCCCATTGTTTTGACATAAATGTGTCTCAAAGTCTGAAAACCAGTGTGGAACATTAAGTTTTCTTGCTACAGAAACACATGTGTTCTGCAATTAAGTAAACTTTTTTGTGTTTTAATGAAAATTGTATGATTTAATGTGTGCACAGCTGTTCAAAGTTGTGTTTGTCAGTCAAGCACTGACTGCGCTTTTGAGTTACGCTAAACCGAGCTTGAGGCGTTATGGTTGTTTTGCTGGTGAAAAAATGGAACTTTCTATCATTTATTTTAATTCAAAAAAATGTAATTAAGGTACAGGGTCACTCGAAGCACAAGCATTTTAGTCTAAGTCAGTTAAAAGTCCGAAATTCAGTCGAATTATCCATGTAGCCCATCTGTTGTCGTGCACAATTTGTCCTACACCCTCCATTCTATTCATCATTGGTCAGTTTCTGACCACAGGACCGCTGTTCACATTTTCACATGTTCACAAAGCTTCTCAGAGTAGGAGTGCTGATGTTGGGTCAGATTCCTCTCTTATTTACTAAGACTTCAGGAACAGATCCTAGATCAGCCCTCATACTCTGAGAAGCTGGACAAGCTGCCCATTTCAGTACCATTTTTAACAGGCCCTTGTCCACTTGGCCTCACCATTTCTCCTTTAGGGATTCACAAAAGCCATCTTAAAGGCCGGTCTGTGAGCTAATTAGCTCACTGAGGATAACCAAGTGTGAGTTTGTTCAGGTTGAAAAATCCAGCCCTCACTGTCCCTCCTCACCTGTACTGTGACGGGTCACTTGTGTAATACGGTGTCCACGTTGGTGAGGACATGTTAAACAATGTGTTGAAACAGCACCCAAATAGCATTATATTGGTGGATCTTTCTCAGCACAGCAGTGACACTGACATGACGTGTGTGGGTTGCCGGTACGGGTGTATCAGACACAGCAGTGACGAGGCACACGTCAGTGTCGAGAGTGGTCCACCATTTAAAAATATACAGCCAAGAGCAGCTCTGTGGGCAAAAACTGACTGATTGATGAAGGGCTAAAGGAGAACTAACACAACACAGCACCTTTTCTGTGGAACCAACATCCCATGTAGGTACCAAACTTTGTAAGTACAGTGTGATATACCATAAGCAGTGTGCTCTAACCACCGACAGCCCCCCCCCAAAAGAAAGATGATACAAAGAAGGAAAAAAAAAAGATGGACAACACCAAGGTGTTTCCAATAAAGTGGCTAGTCAGTGTATATACCACATGGCAAAATGTACAGAACAGTTCAATATTAACTAAAGAGGCTAACAAATCTGCTTGACCTGAACACTAAACAGACTGTGATAGATTATGTAACTTGGGTTGGCCACCTTCAAATACCGAAATCCCAGCACTGACAAGAGAGAAGCACAAAAGCCAATCGTCATGTCCATCCATGGAACTGTAGTCATGGCAGCCCCAATGGCGACAGCACCAGCCAGGATGGAGCCCTGAACATGCACCTTGTGGGAGACAATTTTTGGTGAAAAAAAAAAATGATGTTTTGTTTAGTTGTTGAGCCGTAAGTGTAACTGTCTATAAAATATGCTTACTGCTCTTTCCTGATGCTGAAAAATGAATAACTTGTACTTAATGGTTGTTCTGGATGGAAGTTTCTCTAGAAGGGGATTTCACCTCAAACCGCCATTTTGTTCACATTGTTATCATTTAATTATGCAGAAGTTTGTTTTTTTTTTTTAATTGGTGGAGTTCCTCTGTAAGTGCCGATGAAGTTACGTATGCTCACCAAGTTGATTTTGCCTTTGGGGCTGGACAGCATAGAGATGGCCATCGCCGTGACAGCGCTGACTGCCAAGGACAGATATGTGCCATATGCTGCGATTTCGTTTGTAACCAGTGCGCAGTTAAAACTAGGCCAGAACATCCACAGGAACAAAGTCCCTGAGAGAGAGAGAGAGAAGAGAGAGAGGGAGAGAGAGGGAGAGAGAGAGAGAGAGAGCAACATTAATTAAGTGACATATCGCATAATTAATATTGCTATAAAAGAAAAAAATGAGACGACAACGGAGTCCTCTGACTCCACTTTCTACTCAAACAATGAACTGATACAGTAGATTTCACATCAAACCGATGAGATCAAGTGGCCCTTTTGTTAGATTCAGATTGAGTTTTAATTTTTGATGTTCCTTTCAATAAAACAGTTCTTTTGTCATCTTTAGTCAGGGGAGAAGAAAGAATCAGCACTGACATTGTAAAACACTGTAAAGCCTGTAAGAATCATTTAAAAGTCAGGCATCAGGTAAGATTTTGCAGAAGTTTTTTAGACCAGATCATATGTTTTCACATATTAATGTCACATGCACAGGCTAAAAAGGAAGGTCCAGCTTTATGTTTAGGTCCCAAATGTATGATGAGATATGATGACAACAATAGATCATTTATTTCAGTCCGTCATTGGATTCATTCACTCGGGGAAGGGCTGCGAAGCTCAACCGATGTTACAAAAGGTTCTTCTGCATGTTGTGTGCAATTACACGCTTCCACCAGAGAGGTCTCCAAATTTCAACATCTTACATGGTGTCGCTTAATATTTTCTACTGATGATTGGTTGGACCTGATCAGCTCATTGCCTGATGAAAGCGGTCCGCAGCAGGCTGATTTATAGTTTTGTGAAGGTACACATAAGAAATGCAGGGAAGGGGTTCATAAGCAGGTGTAGCCTTAAATCTTAACTACACATCATGTGAATCTGCAGAGATGTGCATCCAACGCTGATTGGCTATTGAGACCCAAACAACACTCAAACCAAATGGAAGCCAACATTTAGTGGGGCAATGCCCCACCACCCAATCATCAGGCCTCACTAAACCCACTACTTTTTATACATGCTTCAATGTATGAAGGCTGCAAAAAAAGTGAAACTAAATTTCATCCATTATAAAAAGCTACTTATTAACATAAAACGTTTGTAGGTAGTGGCTACATTTTAGTGATGCACTGTGCACCGTGGGAGGATTGATTCGCAGATGTTCTAAATGGGCAGACCTTTGTTGATTTGCTGTAAATGTGGCTGTCCTGTTGATTCTGGCCTGAATGTGTGCCTCCTTTGGACAGATCTACTGTACATTTCTTGCCATGTATTTTCCTTAGCTGTCTTCTCTTTTTTGGGGCGCTTGAATATGCTGGATTTTACACTATTCTGTGTTGAGAACACAAGTATTTTTGTACTTTCTGATCCTTGTTGCACCTTGTTCCTGGAGGAACGTAATTTCGCTCCACTGTGTACTTGTACATAGATGGAATGACAATAAAAGCCTCTTGACTTGACTTGACTTGAAGTACCTTTGTATAAAGCTGTATAAAAAAGGTGAACCATTCACAAAGTACAATTTTGCACAAAAGCTGGTAACTTTATTTGGAGTGGTCTTTTGTAGATGATTAATAAATAGTCATAAATAGTCAAGTTTATATAGCGCTTTTTACAACAGGTGTTGTCACAAAGCAGCTTTACAGAAAAATCCGGATCTAAGCCCCAACGAGCGTCGCCAACGGCGACAGTGGCAAGGAAAAACTCCCTAAGAGCAAGAGGAAGAAACCTTGAGAGGAACCAAGACTCAAAAGAGGAACCTGTCCTGGTCTGGTACAAGTCAGTTCATGCAGGTGAGGTTTGCACAGCGCTGTACAGCAAGAAGCTCCATGGTGGTCAAACCATGGAAACAACCCAAAGAAACAGCTGCCCATCCTAATAAACTCTTATCAGATTATCAGTAACACATCATCAACATATCAGTGAAGCAGCAGTAATGAAGCATCTGAATACACTGAAGTAAATAGCTTGTAGATGTTCTGTTGATACATTACTTACATTAAGTAGATGTTTTGTTAATATATTACTTCCATTGTGCAGAACCTAACCTCACCCAGCTTTACCCAACACCTAACCTTCACTCTGGCCCTAGTCCTAACCCTAACCTTAATCTCAGCCCAAAACCTAATCCTAACCCTCATATGTTTTTGACATGTTACAGAGAGTCTGTTAAGTGTTTGTTTCATCTAAAAGCACCACTCCAAATAAAGTGTCACCCAAAAGCTTTATAGGAACCCATTCATTTTGGTCTTTCTTTCTCTTTTCTAGTGTCTAACCAACCTGTAAGACATTATTTAGTGGCCTCCCTAGGAGTTCTCTGCCCACTCCTAGAATTTAGTCAATCCTCATTGGCTATCTGCATGTCTGTCGGAGTTAAATTTTGTTCACTAGTTTTTATCAGTCAAATTCTATAATGTAATATAGAGATCTTTTAGAGAATCTTTCAGAGAGTGACCCGGCCCTACCAACTGTGCAGAAATAACAGTCTATCATTGGTTATTCTGCGTGTCAGTTAAGTGACCCCTTACTGTCAAAGTAGGCAGTTCTTAGTCACATTGAGCAATGAAACCAGACTCCCTGATGCTGGGTTGAAGTCTGGCTTGTGAGAATAGTCAATTTCTGACCACAGGACTGCTGTTGTCACAGTTCCATATGGGTCAGAAACTGACCATTGACATAAGGCTAGAGGGTGAATAACACAAATTATGCATGATACCTAATAGGCCACATTCACACCAGCAAGCTGCACTCTTAGAAAAAAAGATACTAAACTGTCACTGGGGCAGTACCCCTCTTTTTACTGGGGTGGTGCCCTCAAGGGTTCATCTCAGTACCTTTAGTCAGGGAACATAACTGTACCATAATCCATTTAAATCATATTTTCTAAGTTGTACTGACTCCACACACCCCGTCTCGTCTCCAGGCTTTTTATTTTATTGTTCTGTTTTAAAACATTCGGTTATGAAAAGGTACAAATATGTACTTTTCACCTGGAAAAACATATTTAAGGTACACAATTGGACCTTAACACCACTGTTGTACCTTTGAGGGAACATTTACATTGTTTGTACCTTGCTAAACGAAAAATGTACCTGCACTGAACCTTTATTTCGATGTGGAGCTACAAGATGGGGGCTAATGAAGTGGCCTGTGAATGCATATATTAATATATTAATTCAACAGCTTGGTTGTATCATTGTATCATTTGCTTACCTAACATGGCAAACAAGCCAGATTTACTGTCAAACTTCTCTTTCTCGTGCTTCGGCTCATTCTCTGGACGGTAAAGCACCCATGACGTCAACACACCAAAGAGAGCTCCGAAGACGTGAAGTGACATGGCACGAGACATGGTGCTGGACGGTGTCTGTTCCAGAAAAAGGAAGGCCATTGTACGGTCAGTGAGCACTATGAGTGTAAGCCACATTTCTGCAGTACAGTTTGTTATATGATGAGGGAAAGTGCAGACCTATGCCCTCTGCTGGTTGCATTCAAAACATTGATTCATTTTGCCATAGAGATTTTTTTAAAATGTAAAAACCACTTAAAGCTTGAACATTTGTGAAAAAGTTGCTTAGTGACCACAGAAGCACAAGAGCTATGAACGCAACATAAGAACAGAATATTTTGCTGAGCAATAATAGCCGTATAACTGTGTCACTGCTATAGTGCAGGAGTGCCCAATCCTGGTCCTGGAGATCTACCACCCTGCAGAGTTGAGCTCCAACCCTAATCTAACACACCTGATCCAGGTAATGAAGCCCTTCAGAGGCATCTGGACATTACAGCCAGGTGTGTTGGATCTGAGGTCTCCATGGCGGTAAATCTCCAGCACTATGATTGGGCACCTCCTGCTATAGTCTCAAATAAAACTGACTATGGGGGCTTCAGATCCAACACACCTGGCTGTAATGTTCAGATGCCTCTGAAGACCTTCATTACCTGGATAGGGTCTGTTAGATTAGGGTTGGAGCTAAAATCTGCAGGGTGGTAGGTCTCCAGGACCAGGATTGGGCACTCCTACGCGTTAAGCTGTACAATCTGTGATGTGCAGCACCTCCAATTCACTGTTAACCTAAGTCTTGAGCACAAACAGCAGGGGGCGATCTGGTCATCCCCTTCCTTATACACAAGCTGGGATGCAGTCGTATACAAGTCTGAGCGCCGCTGGTCAAATTACATGTTTTGATGATTTTCTACATGAAATTATGTTAACACAACCTCTACAGCGAACAAACCTAAATATAGCATTTTTCTGCAGATTTTAGTGCACAGTTTCTGTTTATTTGCTGAGTTTAACATAAAAATGAAATATAAAATATAATGTGCCATAACTTTACATGAATTATAAAATGTGTGTTCTCTGTAGATGATCTGTTCATTGTTTCCTACATATTTTAAACTGTTTTTAAACATAATTTGACCAGGGTGGCCAAACTTTTGCACATGATTGTTTATGCAGAATTACTGCCCCTCCTTGATAACAATGATTTAAAAAAATGTTGTGTTATTGTTTGTCAGCTTGATCTTACCCTGAAAAACTTAAAGTCTCATTAAAAATGGAAGACTTTTCTCATAAACATACAGCACTATGCAAAAGTCAGAGACCACCCCTTAGTTTATTTAAGGTCCAGTCAAAACAGCCATTAAGTACAAGCCCATCCTTCCACTGTTAGAAGACAACTCAGCACTATGGGTCTGAAAGGATGTGTAGCTGTCAAGAAGCCTCACTGAAAAAAGGAAATAGATAAAAAGAAGACAATCAAAGAAGCTGCTGTTGTTCTCAGAACAATGGATTGACCACCCCAGAGTCCAGACCTCAACATCACTGAATGTGTTTGGGATTACTTGGGACATCAAAAGCATTCATCCAACTTGTGAGACTGAACTTTAGAGGTGCAGGTTTCTTTGGAAACTTAAAGCAAGTCTACTAAAAAGACTGGAAGCTGTAATAAAGGTAAAGAGTGGACACAATAAAAACTGATTTTTTTAATGATATTTAGTTGTTGAGGCATCTGTGTACTTTTTCTGTTAAATACTCTTTATACACATTTTTTTTCCCTAATAGAGAAAAATGAATAACTTGCACTAAATGACAGGAAATTAAATAAACAAAGGGTGATCTCTGAAGAGAGACTGTGAAAAGTTTATTTTTTTCTGCCAACTGAAATTCACCATCTAAAACAGATTATGGGGCCTTTGAGAAAACAAGCTGCAGAAATTATAAAGTGCAGAGTGATCTGTTCATGCAGTGCTTTTTATGTGAAGCAACGAAGGTAACCTATAGCATTTGCTCACGTTAAAGAATCTGCGTATGAGCCACTGGTTTATCACAAACCCAGTGACCTCCATCAGAGACATCAGCAGAAGCTGGACAGGATTGGTCTTTCCGTGGACAGCGCCCATGGCCACGAGGGCTGAGCACGCACAGAGCTCAGCATCAACCAGGCTGACAGAGGAAGAAAGAAAATCATCTTTTTAAAGGCCCATACAGTGCAAACCTGAATTTTCTTCACTTTTTTGTTTAATAAAACAGTTTGATATAGCATATAAAAACTTTTTCAGAACAATGTTTCAGAACATACCATTCATACCCTACAGGGGTGCACAACCCGAGTCCTGGAGGGCCAGTGTCCAGCTCAGTTTGGAGGTTTCCCTACTTAAACACACTAAATCTTTCAATTAATGGATAAGTGAAATCAGGTGAGTGTGAGTAGGTAAAACACCAAACTAAGCTGGACACCCCGCTGTCCAGGACTGGAGTTGTGCACCCCTTCCCTTGTACATATATGGAACAGCCTGTTTTAGATTCATTGTCTCTGTGATGTCACAACAACCAACACATTTGCATATATCTGCCTAATCAGCCTTATGCAGATTAGCTCTGCATATTCACACTAAAGTTATAAGGAGTGTTTCAGCCTGTACTGCTTTTTTAATGAGACACAATACAGAACACCAAATAAAAGGAGAGCTCATTTACATATATCAGTCTTAAAGGTACAGTAACAAAAAACAGCCTGTTTAATTCTAAGGGGCTTGGATTGTGGACTTTACCATTTTGATAATGAAACACATAGAAATGTTGGGAGAAACAAGAAAAATGCAGGATTTAAAGCCAGAGTACACTCTCCTATGCATTATACACACACCCTGGGGGGCAGCGCTGGAGCCTATCCCAGCGCTCATTGGGTGGAAGGCAGGATACACCCTGCACAGGTCACCAGTCCATTGCAGAGCAGACCTATGCATTACAGCTATTTTAAAATGCTAGCATGCTAGCACATAATTGATACGCAGTGGGTGTGGTCAGGATGCTGTTGTACACTGGGGTGTCCAGTCTTCTGGTATAAAGTACAGTAAAGTATGAATTAGTATCTAATAAAGGGTTTAAAAATTATGTGCAGCAATATTGTTTTAACTGGTTTAGCTCCTCCTGATTGTCCTGCAGAGCGGCCACTGCTGTGAAGGACATGCTTTACAGAACGTTGGCAAAATCCCATTCAACAGTAATGAGAAGTTGCAAAACACAACCCAATAACATCCATTTAGAGTGTGTTATCAATTTCAGGTATTTTTTGTCCATGTTGGGACAAAACATTTTTCAGGCCATGTTGATATAAAACAGTGGGTTTGGTTTTTATGTATGTTTTAGCGATAATCATCTGGTTACTAGGCTAAGCAGCAAGAAGAACTGTGCAAGTACAGAAGCCCCAACATACAAAGTACATTAATAAACCTAAAACAGCAAATTCAGTTCTTTTTTACTGTGTTCCCTAATTTGTTGTGGTGGTATTTTTTTTTTATTTGCTGTTTTTTCCTCAATGTACTTTCGTTATAACTGAAGTTTGGTGGGAGGAACATGCCTGAAACCCCTCCTTCTTCCAATCGAATGCCCTATAAATTCACATCCTCACCTTCCGTTGTTGTGACAAAGTGTTCGCAATCCCCACCGCCACCCCATCCCCTCACTGTTTCTCAGTCTTTCGTCGGTCTGCCACAGCTATGAGGGGGGTCCGGCCTTTTAGCTACAGGCAGAAGCTGCCCAGAACTCAAGCCTAGATTGTCAGAGTTCTCCACCCTCCCTCAATCAGTCTTCCCTCATACTACATCTTTTTGCGACAGTTGTCATGAAAGAGAGCATTTGGATAGTACAGTTAAAGGACACCCCTGCCAAAATGAAACATTTAGCCATCACTACATCTGCTGTATACATGTCTACCTGCGTCCTGCCGTGCTCCTGCAGTGGTCTCTAAAGTGAGATTTTCTGGTTTAAAGACTAGGAAAACCCCCAAACTGATGATGAAAGTGGAAGGAATCTCTGAAAGAGTACCGCTGCTTGGGGGTGCACTTTCGGGGTCTGACTGTTTTACTGATTTGTTTTTTTTTGTTGAATGCAGAAATAAGGAAGATAGACTGTAGCTACCATTACTGCTAATAAGCTGAACATCTTACTGTAGCTGTATATCTGTAGTAACTGTCATCAAGTCATCATTACAATAGAGAGAATAGATGTGTTAGATGAGGAGGACCACAAGCAAATTAAAAGCTAAAGTTAGCAGGGTCATTACCTATCTAGATACCTCAGTTTGGCTTGTGTTTTCTGAATAAAAGGGTAAAAGAAGTTGACTCTGGTGTCCATTCTGGACTGAATAAAGATAGAATCAGTGTTTCTCTGCTAGTAAAACAGCAAAACCAGTATATCGCTGCTGTCGGAACAAAAAGAAATGACCCAAAATGACCTGGTAAAAGGTCTGGTTACATTGACTTACATTAAAAATAAAGTATGTTCTTCTTTCCCCTATAAAGCAAACAATTTTGGAGATGCTTGGGTCACCAGCTATACCACAAGAGCTGCACTAGACCAGCTTAGACCAGCATGAAATGCTTGCTGCTCTGTGCTGTTTTTTTTTCTTTATGATTATGTTTGACAAACAAGGTGATAGTTAGACTTATGCTAGCTTGGTGCTTTATTAGCCTACAGCTCTGTAGCTAAGCCACAGAATACTGCATAACACAACAAATGCCACTTTAGGGTCTACTTGGCGCACTTAGAAGATGCTCTGGATTATTCATTTTGGGACTAATTTTGTGTTAAACTAAACTGAACCTAGTGTCTCATAAGTAAGCATCCCAGTACAAGCAGAATCGCACTTCAGTACCTTTCCATCTTGATGCGGATCGTCGAGCTGGAGTGGGAAGTCAGTAGGAAGCCGTTCAGTAGAGTGGCCCACTGCACAGCCATGGCAGCTACGAGCAAGCTGAAGCCCACACTGCTGAAGCCATAGCGGACCAGAAACGTGGCCAAGAAGCCAAAACCCAGGAACACAATCACATGGACATCCTGAAAGACTGCGAGTGAAGAAATCCAGAAGGAATGGTAGATTAAATGGACTGAATGTGCACTACATTCAAACGTCTGTAGACACTTTGGTTTCTTCTGATATTAAGGATACTGGGTTTGTAACTCCTTTGCTGCAGTAACAATCTCTACACTTCTGTGAAAGCATTACACTAGATACTGGGACATTGTTGTGAGGATTTGATTGTATTCATTCACAAGAGCATTAGTGAGGTCAGACACTGATGTTGGATGTTCTGATCTGGATCACAAGTCCTTCTTTAAAAGGAGTGCTGTGCTGTGCTGTGTGTTGTTGTCTTGATCGACAGGTCAACAGGCATGTATGTAGTAATCCAAGTCAAACCAATCTCCCTCATGTTTTCTTGGTTTTTGGGTCACTATAGAGCAGTAGAGGGTAGAATAGCTTAAACCCATACTTAAAATTGTAAGTTAATACCTTTACGAAAACTTAAGCAGAAGTACAAAAGTAGCAGTGCCAAAAAATAGTACTGAGTATCTACAGAACTGCTGTGGACCATCTTAGTACATTCAGTGTCTATCAGTGGAGGAATTGAGAGTAATTAGTTGTTATAACCTGAACATACTCAGTATGTATGAAACCATCTAAATTGTACTTAAGTACAATGTAAATGAGTAAATAGAACTAGTAGTTACATACCTCTTCTGTTGCAGAGGAAACTGACAATCTATCAGTTTTGTTGTGAACAGAATTCAACCTTTAGCTCATACTTATATTTACGTAAAGTGCTAAAACATACTAGAGGAAGGTATTTCATTAGCAGTGTATCTTAGTAAGGCTTGATAAATTAAGCCCCAAATTTACAATTGTTCAATGAAAATATTGCACAGACTTTTGGCTTAAAGCAGGGGTTCCTATAGTTTGGCAAAAAATCTGACTGACATTATTTTCCTCTTAGCTCAAAGCTGAGGCTAATGTAGCTACTGGACAGTAATAATCACTGTGTAGCAACCTTGTCGCATACTGTGAGGAGTAAAATGTCAAAAAATAGACTTGGATTATGGTTTCTGTCACTGTGTACACAAAACATTAAAACCACCTTCTTGTTTCCACACTTAGTGTCCATTTTATCAGCTCTACTTACCATAAAGGTGCCCCTTGTAGTTCTACAATGACAGACTGCAGTCTCTGCATACTTTGTTAGCCCATTTTAACCCCGTTCCTCGATGGTCAGGACCTCCCCAGGACCATCACAGAGCAGGTATTATTTGGGTGGTGGATCATTCTCAGCACTGCAGTAACACTGACACTGTGTATTAGTGTGTGTTGTGCTGGTGTAAGTGGATCAGACACAGCAGTGCTGCTGGGGTTTTTAAACACCTCAGTGTCACTGCTGGACTGAGAATAGTCCACCAACCAAAAATATCCAGCCAACAGCATCCTGTGGGCAGCGTCCTGTGACCACTGATGAAGGACTAGAGGATGACCAACACAAACTGTGCAGCAGCAGATGAGCTATCGTCTCTGACTTTGCATGTACAAGGTGGACTGACAAGATAGGAGTGTCTAATAGAGTGGGCAGTGAGTGGACACAGTGTTTACCACCACCACATCTGTGTCACTGCAGTGCTGAGAATGATGCACCACCCAAATAATACCTGCTCTGTGGTGGTCCTGTGAGGGTCCTGACATTTGGATTAAGAAGTAAACAGTGTTAAGCAAATTCAGAACTATCACTCAGGTTTATCTGACTGGGAAAGTTGTCCTCCTTTGTGAAATACACTCCATGTTCATACTTTCTTCTGTTAAACCCAGTACAGGGAGTAGCAAGTGAGTTTCAACAATTACGTTAAATGATTCTTTATTATGGCTTTCATGTTTGCAAAAGCATGTAAGCGTTGGTGGGTTAAGGGGGGAGGGTCCCTCTTATCACACCAAACCAGTGGCGCATGTCATCCCCACCCCAACGGCAAGGCAAACCCTCTGCATTTCACCGTAATATACGAATCTTCAGTTTTAAACTGCTTCCTTATAATTTTACTTTGTCATTTACCACAGCAGTGGCATATCTTACATGTTTCCTGTTAAAAGATTTCAGTTTGTCTGAAAAAAAAAAAACTGAAAACACACTAGAGTCATAACAGAACCTACATTAGCATAAGCTCAATTACCGTAGCCTTAGTTTAAGCTTATGTAAGACATTACAGGTATGTGTATGTGTGTGTATCCATCTCATTTTCTCTGTATGTTCTGAAAGATAGGATCTGTCCCAATCTCAATGCACACAACTAGGCTTTTTAAGAAATGATCACTTACCTGCATATGAATTAAGAAACTCTTCTACATCCGTCTTTGCAAGATCTTCAATTTCCACAAAAAAGGCAAAAAGTACAATAAAGATGATTTGCAGTATTATGGCCAAAGGAGGCAGCCGTGACCAAAGACTAGGAGCGTACCGAGGAGCCATGAGTGACTGTTTACTTCTCTGTCCACTCCTGCATGACAACACTAAGGACTTCTCTCTGGGCTATCCTGAACAGGGTGGGGAACGACAGCAAGTTCCCCTGAAAGCGGTCCCACACCAACCACCAACACCCGGGCTACTCAAATAAACTTGTTCGCTGTAATCATTGACTTGATAATTTGCCTAGTTGCCTATTATAAAAAAATGATATATATATATATATATATAGATATATATATATATATACATATATATATATATATAGATATATATATATATATATATATACAGTATGTGGACATATAATTTATTTTACTTTATTTCATATATATATATATATATATATATATATATATATACATCTATGAAAGAAAAATAATTTAGTAATATACAATAACGAAACAAGATTTTTTTCCGGTTAATCTTCAGTCATTGAGCAGCTGCTCATTACATTTTATTTTCTTTGTTATCTAATGTACTTTTATGTTTCATGCCTGCCTTAAAATAGCCCCTTTCTGCAGGCCCCCTAGTGGCCATTCCACTGGAGGAATGGAAATCAACATGGATATTTGTAATTATTAGAATCAAATCAATTTCTACCTCATAACTCTGTTGTCTGATTAACAAGGACACTGCTCTCTTTCTAAGTATGACATGTTGTGACTCTGTGTTGAGCTACTAGTGAGCAATGAGGGGTGAAAGGAGAGGTGTGGGAACCCCCTGCTGTGAAAACGATTCACATCTGTCTTCAAAGACTGCAGTTTTCTTGATATCAAACAATGGTGTACAACTGCCAACATGTGGACTTGGACAAAAATCCAGTTTGCTTCTGGTTTTGTAAATCATGCACATTTCTATCAAAATATATTCCATCAATGTTAATGAAGAAAAAATGCATAGGGGCACAACTGACCTCAAAACAGGCCGACATTGCATTTTATGGCTACTTTGAAAAAGGAGTTAAAGATTAATTTAACTGGATTGAAAAGTGAGTTATGAAGTTTTGACATGACAATGACAAAATATTGGCTCTTTATATTTGTTTATGACTGCATACATGAGAGTTACTGATATATTAACATTCTTGAAACATCAATATGCTGCATGTATGTACCTCATTTTAGTAGTATGTATTTTGGATTATGTAAGAGTTTGTTTTTCTATTCCAGTTATTGTTTTCCAATAAAATTTTAATATTTGTGTTTATATGTTTGTTTATTACACTTTAAGCACAAATAACTAAATAACAACAAAATAAAATGTACTGGTGCATGTACTGAGGCATGCATTTAAATAATATTATTGTTATTTGACAGGTGACAGAATATAGAATTTAGCCTTATTTGTACCATGAAAATATGTGTTCATGGTCATACAGACATGTACACACATATGTTGTAATTTTAAATATATTACACCAACCTCTGTCAAATACAGAGACATATATAGCCATATATCCCTCTATATATGAGGGTCAGATTTTCAGGTGTTCCAACACACCTTCTGAATTCCTGATGTTTATTAATTACTGAAGCCTATAAGTAGGCTGCCAGATACCTAATGCACCTTAGTTAAAGGGGAATTCCACCAATCTTTCAGAATCTTTGATAAATTCAGTCATAAATATGCAAAACAAATTCATTTTATATGAAATGCTGAGACACCGTTTTGTGCCAACGTTGAGAGAAGATTTTGGCCTAAAATGTATTTTAATCATTCATGGGGACTAACATGGGGAGTAACATGCAAGAGATTGTAAGGCAAAATAGTATCCAAAGAAAACATATATTTTCAGATTTACAACTATTTTACCATCATTAACATTACATCTTCATCAGCAGCAAAACTCTTCAGACATTTGACTGGCTGGCTTGGACAGTATACAAAATGGCTATATTTGCATTGTAGACACTGCAACCCCTGGTTCCTATCACCACCACTGCAAAGAAATCTGAGTCAGTGTTTCTCTCCATTTCACATAAAACCACACTGAACGACTTTGCCCTTACAGAAAAGTCACATGAATTTCACAACTGAATAAAACAGGTGGTTTTTACACACTTCATGTGAGACAGGTGTGACTTTTGTGAGAGGGTTTACGTCTCAATGACTGAATTTTTTTTAATTGCAGCTCCATGTTAAAAATAATTTAGTATCTGTGTGATTTCCAAATAAATGATAATTAACATACTTTGAGTTGCCCTATATGACAATGTAAACAAATTCCCAGTAATTCACAATTACTACAATGCTGAAAAACAGCAAAGACCAGCATGAATTCTTCGCTGCTTTAAGCTAGATCAGTGTAGGTTTAGCTAATCACCCGGCATTGTCATGCTGGTTGACCAGCATACCAGCATCCAGTAGGCGACATATGCTGGTTTCGCTGGTGAACAGCATATTAACTTTCATTGCTGCTGACCAGTATATTAGCATCCAAAACATACCATACCCTGGTTTTGCTGGTGATCAGCCATGCTGATCTGTGCTGGCTTTTCCAGCAGGGTATTCCCAGATCCCAACCATGTCCCTAGGTAGATGACCATGGCTATCATATTTTCTTCAAAGAAATTTTCCAGACTTTTTTCGTCATATTGCAAACAATAGGTAGTTTATGATAATCAATAAACGAATAACAATAAAGGCTGATTACAACTGCCACGCACATAAGGCCTCGTTTTGCGGAATATTGATATTCCATTGTTGCTAGCAACGTCAACGCGCGCAGAGAAACGCCGTTGCTACGTAAACAGCGTAAGTCCAAACAAAAAAAAACCTCGACGATCGGCCTCTGCCATCTCATTGGTCAGCGAGCTCTACCTGATGCGCCTACAAGGGACGTGATTGGTCAAGAACAGCGTCGCTCAAACAAAAAGGCCGTCTTTACGGTTGTCAGTCGCCCTATATAGCTTTTTCTCTTTGAAGCCGTGACAAAACAACGCTTTATTGCCTGTAGCTAGCCGATGTAGCTGACTGGCTATTGATCAGTCAATGTGATCGCCTCTGAGAAACGTTGGTTGTGGCCAGTTTTTTGGTCTTGGCAAACCTGGTGTGGGTGAAAACGTGTCTTTGAGCTTCTGTCCTGCGTCGAGAAGGGAGGGAGGGGGGAGAGAAAGAGAGGGAGAGGGAGCGAGAGAGGAGAGGAGGGTCTTCCATCGAGTCTTTTTATTTATTTCTTTGTTTCCAGTTGGGGGGGAGAGAAAAAATAATAATAACAACGATAGCTAGCTACCCAGCTAGCTGTATCCTTTAGGGAACTTCCAATGTCGCCCCGCTCAGCCTGGACGGAGAAGAAGTGGACGCTGTTGCGGTAGTAGGCTGTTGAGAGAAGCCGAAGCGAAGAGGGCAAAAACAGGAGGATGAAGCGGCGCAATGCGGACTGCAGCAAACTCCGACGGCCGTTGAAACGGAACCGAATCGCCGAGGGTATCTACGGCAGGTAACGTTAGGGCTGGCGGGGCTAACGGGGCTAAAACCTGACCAACCTGACCGACCTCACCGCGGCTAGGCGAAAATATCCCCGTGGCGGAGGGAAGGTGACCAGTGGGCTGTCCCCCCGACCTTTATCTTCGTGTGGGGTCACATAAATTGCTGTCCGACGGACCATTTTTGTCTTATTTTGTAGCCACCAGTGATAGCTTAGCTGTGTTAGCTTTCAGCTAACGTTGTTTGGCTAACGTAACCTAGCTGGCTGGCGTTAGCTCGCTTTAGCCACGCTAGCTGTTAGCTAACTGTAATTAAATCATTATCCGTTTTCAGTTTTAGACTTCGACCCCCCACGACACACAACAGCCAGGCTCATTTAAGGGGGAATCCACGAGGCTTCGCATTCGCCAGCTTCTTGTTCGAATTTCGCCGTTCCACCTTAAATGGAGCAGCAATTACATTCAAGCGCCCACCATTTAAGGTGGAACGGGAGAATTCGAACAAGACGCTGGCGAATAAGAAGCCAAATTAAGCTTCATGAGCAATCCGGTGCCTCTAGCCAGCTAGGATTAAATATTTCCTCAGTGCCTTATTGTATATTTGTGCTGGCTTGCCAGCTGAGGCAGTTAGGGTGAGTGTAGCTGACTGCGCTAGACGGATCCCGACCTGCTGTGACAATGCCAAGCAGCCATCTAACGTTACCCAGCTCGCAGCACAGGCTCATTTAAGGCAACGTTTTAGCTGGGTTATTCGTTGTAGAGCATCAGAGGAAGATGCTGGACGTCAGTTGGATCGATCCACACAGATAGCAAGCCTAGAAATTACCACAAACGCTTTGTGAACTTTGGCAAAGTGGCTTGGCAGGTTATTCTCTGCAGCGCATCAGTCAGTGTCCTGTCATCGGAAATAAAGAGAGAGGTGGGCACATCACAAAGGGTTGGTGACGTGTTATCGAGATGTGAGTGCTTTCATAGGGGCCCACTTTTACTGTGAATGAATGCCAAAATGCCCGTGGCTGACCCCGTAACGCTCGTCAGTTGTCAGTTTAGATAGGGAGTGATCTTTGGCTTCAGTTCAACCCCGCAACCACAGAGTGTTTGTCAGGTGCTGAGTAACTTCTCTGATGTGAGCAGCACATCACAGAAAGCTTCCAGGCTGCCCAGACATGGATTTTAATTTTAGTGCATATATAATCGGGCTTGTTTTGGTTTGGTACCACTCATGCATACATGCATAATCCATCATGAAGAATACTCCTCTTGATGCCTGTGCAGCCTTTATGGCTGGGCTGCGAGATGTTGGCTTTACTGGTTTCCTACCACGATTCCCCAGATCATTTTTGACAGTTTGACAGTTGGTGTGTGAGGCGTATTGTGTTGGTGGTTTGATCTTCCTCATGAACTCCAAACTCTCACAAAATGTAGTCTGTGGCTGTGTGTGGTGGCATCTAGTTTAGTTCCCTTTTTCACTACCGTACTGTAAGTCATTCATTCTCAGTGTTGTTAGTTTACCATGATGTTTTTTAGGCTTCTGGGGGTGGAGAACATGATGAAAGTGTTCTAGTTTTATTCTACACATTTTCACTTGCAAAATCAATTCTCTTCTCAACTGGATAATATGTATAAAAATAACACTTTATTTGGAGTGGTCCTTTGTAGATGATTAATAAACACTTAACAGAGTATCAGTAACAGATCAACAACATATCAGTGAATTATCAGTAATGAATCATCAGAATACACTGAAGTAAATATCTTGAAGGTGTACTGTTGACACGGCTTACATTAAGTAGATGTATTGTTAATGTTACTTACATTGCGCAAACTGGATATTAGGCCTAAATATGGTGTAGGAACTTCCACAGAATAATCCAAATTTGACAATTTCACCAAACCTAATTGATTGTTTATGGACCATCTTTTAACATTCATGACAAAACATGCCATTGTGTGATGCTGACTGACTTTACGGTGAGATGTAGAGATGATTTGGAAACGATCACTTCATTTAGAAACAAAACCTCGTATCTCCAAAATGGTAACTTAACAGAAAAAGGGAAAACACTTTCAACCTTTAAAGGAAGTTAACAGAGAAATTATTTATTTCACATCACTTTGGACTATTTCTAAATATCATCATGCTATGTGGACACAACGTAGAGGGCAGGTGGAGAACTCAGGTTATATCAAAACAATTAAAAATGACAAAAATTGAGAGGCAATTGTCATGACCGTGACATCTTTAAAACCTTTATATGGAAGCATGTGTGTATATATATATATATATATATATATATATATATATATATATATATATATATATATATATATATGGAAGCTTTATTTATTTATTTATGTGGATGCTATTTACAATTAATTACTGTGTGATAATCATCATCTAGTCCAGGTTTGGCCTGCCATAATCATGACATGCATACATTTCTAACCATATTTAAAGCATTGTTTAGTCATTTTATCCTAACCAATTACTGCCAGTATCTGAAACTTTTAATTGTCGTCATGTCCACATGTTCTCTGAGCCTGCCTGAGCACAAATCTTAAGAAAATTTATCAAACCATATGGCAGTAAAGGACCAGATGATTTTACTATTATTTTCTCATTGTAAAGTAAGTCGTTTGTTCACATGAGGCTGAGAAGATCCAAATGTTAGTAAGACATGTTAGACAGACATTCATCCAGTGTACATTCGTACAAAGTTTAGTCCTTGCAGACCAATTAGAACAAGTTTTATGGCATTTTTTTCTCATCTAAATTTAGGTGTTGGACTTCTGGAAAACCTTTTCATTTACATGAATAGCATTAAACTTTTTTTTGTTTTTGGGTTTTTTCCCCGGTAGTACTGTAGGTAGGATGTCCTGACAGTAATAGTGCACATAACTATGTCATCAGTCTGGCTTTGCAAGTCAGTGACAGATTCTTCTTCCACACGTGAACACCACACCTAGAGAGAAAGGACACGCCATAGGTGTTGGCTTATGTATAGGCTAGTGGTATGTTGGTTCAGAGTTTTGGTCTTTGTTACTTATGATCTGGTGCACACGTGACAGAAGTAAAAAGTATTGTGTGTGGTGCAGTTTCACTGAAGTTTAGTGTTTGGAGAAAGCTTAATGCATCACCTATTTTTTTGTAGTTAGTCATACTAAACGTAGTATCTGCTTAAATGTGGTTTTATTTCAATTGTCAAGAAGGCTAATTGAGGTCTACTAGTTCAGTGTTATGCACCAATTAAAAAAATTAAATTAATTTATGAATAGCCAAGTGTTGGACTTTCACATCTGCTACTGATTTAGTTATTGACAATAAAAAAAGACATATAAACAAGACAATAAATAGGATTTAGACCAATTTGATGTCCTAGCAGCTTCCAAGCCTTATCTTCTGGTGCCATCGCTAGGCACAAATCAGCAGAAAATGACCTTTCTTACATGTTTCAGAGATGCATGCACTGTTTAAGGGGGAAAATAAAAGATTTTTTGACTGAAGTGCTTTTCTGAAAACTATTGTGCACACAGGTGTCAGAGTAAGACCCTCTGCTCTAAACCAGAGGTGCACAACTCTGGTCCTGGTGGGAAGACGTCCAGGACAGTTTGGTGATTTACCTACTCAAACACACCTGATTCCCAGGTTTAGTGGGTGTGTCTAAATAGGGAAACCTCCAAGCTGTGCTGGACACCGGCCCTCCAGGACCGAAGTTCTGCATCTCTGCTGTAAACAAAGTATTTCAAATCAATTAATTTGCAAAGTGTTGCCAAGTTAAAGACTCCAATGTTTCTCAGAAGTTCTGTTTGTTTTGAGTGGCTTAGGAAATTGAACAGCTCAGTTAATGGTGCAGTTGTATGGTTTTGGGAAGCCTGTATTACTTTGGGAAATTGTTTGTGCTGCATTATGTGGCCAAGGTGTGATTTGCCCGGGATGGTGATGTTGGCAGGGCACCATCACTTGGGATGGCGAGCACTTTCCTTGCTGTAACCCATCTAATTAAGGGTGGATGATATGGCAAAATTAAAACATCACAGGACCTGAAGACGTTTTGTCGAGAGAGCGTGTTTATCAGGTTAGTCTTTCTGAGCTTTGTGGACAAGTTGAAACGAACAAAACACCCCAGCAAATCAATTTTGCCACATTACTAAAAAGCTATAAAATACTAAAAGTACAGGGATCAGCTGCTTGCTCAGCTACTTGTTACTATGCAGTTCCTGCATTTACTATGCATGTTTGTAGTTATTTTTAGGCTCTCTACAATTGGTCACTTTAGTGATACAGGCACATGAATTACTGTATGCTGATTATACCATCATATACTCAAAGTGTATCATGATATAACTGGACCTTGTTGGACAATAAGACGTGTAAAATAGAATACCAAAAACTAAAAGCAAGCCACTTCGCAATGATAACATCGTCATAGGCTGCATATGCATTACCAGGTTCAAATGGCATGAATATTTATTTATTTGTTTATTTAATTTGAGGATATGTGACGGATGTTTTTCATAGCAGTGTGAATGGAAATCAGATCTGAAACAAACCACCTGGAAACAATAGGAAACACTTGCAAATTATAAAAGCAAACCATTTGGAACGGTAGAGAAGATTGGAAACAATTGTTGTCGTTCTCCAACTGTTCTTAAGAAGAAGTTTCTTCTTAAAACACAGTTTTTACCAAGTTTCTGACATTCACCAATGTTTTCTTATTTGGGATTTGATATGAGGTAAGAACAGAATCTACACACACTCAAGAGCAGAAAAGTGTGAACAATTCTGAGGTTCAGGAATTTTAGATTTTCGTAGGGCCTTTCTCAAGAACAAATTTAAGAATGAGACCCAAGCCCAATCCCATTTCACCCCTTGCCCCTACCACTTAGACCTTAGCCCTCTGTTTTGCACGTTCACGTCTAGGGTTAGGATGTCCTGATTTTTGTTGAGATAGAGGGGTAGGGAGAAGTGTTGGGGCTACAGGACCCTCCAAACTGAGGTTTTTCAGAGACACACTCCTGTGTTATGAATGTTATGAGGAAAAAAAGAAAAACCGGCAAGATGGCTGCGCGAGAAACCCACAAATGTGAGCATTTTACCTTATCATATTACCTTAGTTTAATGTCGTTTCAATGTATTATGGCCCTGTTCTTCATAACAAGCATAAAAAATAAGCATGCTAATGTTTCGGTAGGTAGCGAGCTAACTTTCCAGTTCCACCTTAAATAGTCCAGCTGTTCTACACCTGAAGTGCCAGAATGTAACTGCTGCACCATTTAAGGTGGAACGGGAAAATTTCGAACAAGAAGCTAGGAAATATCTGACTTTAGCTTCGTATGACCAAAGAATTAGCGGTGGGTGATGATAAATAATTGTCTTATATTCTCTATTTTAAAAACATATGATGCCCTAAATGTAACTAAAGCCCAGCCGTGAGGTTGCTGAACTTTTTCCTTTTCTGCTATCACTGGAGATGGGCTGGGTCGCCTAAAGAGCAGCGCTACTAGGCTATTTTTTTTTTTTTCCCCATTATTTGAGGGTTGTCCCATTTCGTAGGGCAAGATTTCAACCACTACCCCTTGAAACTCAGTTCCAAGGGGTTAGGGTGACACTCGAAAACAAGGGGTAGGGCTAAAAATAAGAAATGGGCTTGGGCCCCAGTATCATCATAGGCCAAACTGCTTCAAAATGGGAGCAAAACCAACAGTGTTGCGTTCATGTATTTTTGTTCAGTATAGCTGCAAATGCATCTCTCTGAGTGCCGTATTAGAACAAATGATCTTTGGGATGAAGGCTTGTGTGGGTAGTTGATTCGTGTTGTTGTTGTTCTTGTTGTTTTCTGAAACGTGGCTCATTCACCTGATGTTATCGATTAGGATGTGTATGCAGGTAGCAAGCAAGCAAAGTTTATTTATATAGCGCTTTTTACAACAGGTGTTGTCACAAAGCAGCTTTACAAGGAAATCAGGTCATTTCAGGGTGGAGGTGTGTTCACACTATTGACACATACGGGTCACTCACGTACATGGAAGTGAACTATAAAGGCAGAAATATCAGATCTGAATAAAACAATGGAGTTGAGCAATATAGCTTTGTAATGTGGACATGGCCATATTGCATATTGCCCACCCTACACCTAATACAGCTGTTAATGAGCGGTTAAGTCAGGTGTTTTAGGGGAAAATGCTGAAATGTGCCATGCAGGGAAACTCCAGGAAGGGGCCCGAGGGTTAATGTGTAATTTCATGCATTGAAATACTTGACAGTGTCTAGTTTTGGAATATATGGCGAGATTTTTTCTCTCTTTGGCTGCAACATATTTGAATGCTTCACTTTCTCTTCGCTTTGCATGTTGCAAAGATCCATTCACTTTAGAATGATTTGTTGTAATAACCTTTTGGCATTAAGCTCAAGATTTATTAGCTTTATTTCCATTAAGATGCACAAACAACAATCAATTAGTCACAAACAAATCAATTTGGTGTATAAGCCTGTTTTGTCCAAAGGGTCAAACATAAGTAATGAATTGTTCAGCAGTACAAGCAATTCATTGATTCTGTCGATGCCTTTTGGGAACCGAATTTTGGTAACCAGCCCCAGAACAAATGAATCTCTGAAGGCTTGGCCAGTAAGTTCTTTGTGTTTTAAAGAGCTCAGTCTAAATGAACGCTACATCTTGTCTTTTAAACAGGGAAATGAATAAATGTATATAAACCCTGAGTTAATTAGACTTGTATATGAACTAAATGCCTGTATTTTCATGGGGAAATTGCTTTGCTGTTGCTGCAAGATGAGCTGCTGTCAGTAAACACACTTTTGTGAAAGGCAGGAAATGCATGGCCTTGCAAAATAAATACAGTTTATTTTTGTATGCAAGTTTCTGATGCAAGTTGCTTTGTACAAATGTAATTACGCTGCCATACTGCTCTAATATGCTCATTGAAGATATGCAAGTGTATTAGACGTCCTTTTTACGGTCACTTGAGCCCAGCCAGACTCTGATTACTGTTTTTTTCTTTCTGTTTTTTAAAAAGAATGGGTAATGTTAAATTTTCTGCAAAAATATCCCATTTTCCAAATTATCAGTATATTTAATATAGTATATTTAATAATATTTTTCATCAGATTCATGATATTTTTCTTATATTTAATGAGCCTGTGCTTCCCGAGTACTGCTACTCTATATACAAAAGAATGACTTACACCTGACATGACTGGTTTTGAGTGGATTGTTTACTTCTGTTTCCCCTTAAAATTACACCTGGGAAACTTGAATACAGTATTTTGATGGTTAACCAGATACAAACCACATGGTTTGTACGAGGAAACGATAAGGAAACATACTATATGTTTAACCATTTATTGAAGTATTTAAGTATTTTAAAATCTGAAGTGCCCAGCAAATGACATGCGCCACATTAAACTGTCAGGTCTTGGACGTGTGAAAAGAGCACAGAACAGAATAAAAAACAAATGTTGTGGATCATATGTTGTTATAACAATGTCACTAAAACTGAAAATCAACATATCACGGTATGCCAGTATAGATGGTATTGACCAGCACTACTTTTTGTGGATAGATGTAAGTCATGAACATTTTTATGAAGATTTCTGATTAGAAAGTCCTTTAAAATTATGATGGGCCCAAAAGTGTTGAGTCAGTCAGTGTATACGAACATGTAACAAAAATAGCCCAGTTTTTCTTGTTCTGTGTGCTTTTGTTTTATTCAACCATGTGCTTCTGTTGTTGTTTTGGTGTTGGCTCCTCCCCTGTCCTGCCCATGTCCTCTGTCCTCACCTGTTCCTCGTTTCTAGTCCCGCCCTTGTTTATCACCCCCAGGTGTTCCTTGTCTTCTGTGTTTGTATATAAACCCCTTTGTTTCCTTTGTGCCCCAGCCAGCATTGTTCAATGCTGATCTCTGTGTTCATATTCGCTTTCATGGTGTTTTTTCCTGCTCATGTTTTCTTTGTATTTGTTCCAGTGTTGGTGTTTTCTGGTTTTCTTAGTCTGTCTTTGTTTATCTCAGTTCTTAGAGTTTTCGTGTTTGCATTGTGTCGTGGATCCCCGTACACTTTCCCTGCCTGTGCATTATTTGGATGTTCCATGTAAGAACTTTAATAAACACTCGCATTTGTACCCCTTATTTTCGTCTGCCAAGCCAGACACATTGTTACATATTTGTGTGCCTATATGATATTAACTATACAGTATTACAGTTGCTAGGTCAGTCTCAAACTTGTGTTGGGCCGTTCCCATCAGGAAGATATCTGTGATGTGTGGATTTGGGATGTGCATTCGGACTAATTTTGATATTCCTGTGTTCATAGGAGTTAATGAACAGATATCTGTTTTACCACAGACAACGAAAAGAGGAAAAACTATTTTTATTAAAAAAATATTGGTGGGGTATTGGTAGGTTTAGTGACAGATGAGTAGTAGTAGTTGCCTTATCAGAGTAGCTAATTAGCTAATGCTAACTGGTACAGCATTAGTTGCTGATGGAGACTCGTCGTGTTCTATCCTTTTCTCTTCACTTGACAACATGCGAGCATTTTATTTTGTCAGAGAAATACATTTTCACTAGGGCTGGGCACAATACTGGAGCCCATATTTATCATTATCATGATGAATCATTTCACAGAATGATTTCTGAGCATGTCATGGATATTGTCAGTACTTAAACACTACCCAGCTGTATGTTTTATTCCAAGGACAGCATAATTAATGTTTAATTGAATTGGTATCAGCAGCACAGTATGTGAAATGGTGACTACGAATCATTGTGTTCATAAGAGTTCGTATTGTTTTTAAATGTGGTGCTGCTTTGTCTGTTCCAGCTTACTCGGTGTCAGTAAAAATAAAAACTTATTTAAGTATTGTTATATTACACTTTTGCCAAAATACCCACTTCCCGTTTTCGCTGTTTCTAGATCTTGCTAACGTCAGCCAGTGTAGTTAGCTTAGTTTGCAAAAATGCCACGCCAGAGCTAGTTGTATCATCTCTGCCTTCTCAGTCGCGTCCTTGGTGACACATTAAGCCACTATTGTTTAGTAGCAAAGTATAATATTCAAACTCGCAAAACTGTCAAATTTTACAGTCCTGTTACATAAAATTTGTGTTTCCCTGAACTGTTAGCCTGATAAGATAATCCTTTATTAGTCCCAGAATGGGGAAATCCACAGTGCCACAGCAGCAAAGGGAGAGCAAGACACTCAGAAAAAGTAGTAACAAAAAGAGAATTAACAAACAAGTAATTAAGCTTGTTAATTACTTAACAAGGTTTACGGTTTGTTACTGGTTGCTATATAGACAATATATATAATACTGAAGGTTAGAAAAAATACAAAATAAAAACTCTATCCTTCAAGAATTAACAATATAAACAATTTTAAATAAAAAAGCAAAAAAAAATACTTACACTGTAAGGATATTTTACCCAAACTGCACATGGAGTTTATATTATACATGGGGATGATGAGGAAGTAATAATATAAACATTATAAATAGAAAAGCAAAAAATCTTACACTAAAGAGAGATTTTACATGTATTCCAATTAATTTTATGATTCTTGGAGAAAATCTCTTCAAGTACTATGTTGAGAACTGTACTCCAGCATTCCCCATATAAATAACTATAAAATAACATGTACAGAATAACTAAAAAAAACATTCATCTCTTTTCTCTCTCTCTCTCTCTCCCTCAGTACCTTCCTGTACCTGAAGTTCCTGGTGGTGTGGGCGCTGGTGCTGCTGGCCGACTTTGTGTTGGAGTTCAGGTTTGAGTACCTCTGGCCCTTCTGGCTGTTCATCAGGAGCGTATATGACTCCTTCAGATACCAGGGCCTGGTGAGCGTCTCTGTTTTTCTGGTTTTGTATTTCCTCTGTTCTCAGTCAGTATATCGCTGCTGTCGGGGGAAATAAAACTGATATCTCCATTTTTGTTTGTCATAATCTGAAAATGCCTGTTGCCCTTTACATTATGTGTAAATTTCATGATGAACGGACCGAAAGAAACAGCCCAAAAGTTTTGGTTCCATTGACTTACGTTAAAGGTAAAGTAGTTTTTTTCCTTCTCCTGTAATGATACCATTTTGGAGATATAAAGTTTTCTTCCGACAACAGCGATATCTACATCAGTATGGCGTATGGCAGACATACAGTTGAACGATGCTTAATCCATGCGTGTGTCTGTTAATATATGTTAATAATATCGCTCATCAACAGAGTGAAATCTTACTGCTAGACCACTTGTGGACTGCTGTTAAATCGGCAAGTCAGGGTTCCTTAAAGGGGAACTTTACAGATTTTTCCAAATTTCTGCACAATTCAGTCACTGAAATGTACACAGTCATTCAGAGTGCATTGATGTGAAATGGTTCGTTCTAGATATGTTTACCAACTCACATTTCTTTACAGTGATGGTGATGGAAACTAAGGGTTGCAATGTCTGCAACACAAATAGTCATTATTTACTATTCTGAATGACCAGTAAACCCACACACGTCTGAGTTCTGTATACAGTGTTGATAATGGTCATGCCAAATCTGCAAAAACAAGTTTTCCTGCCTTACATGAACCACAGTGAATGACTTTAAAAAAAATATTTTAGGCCCAAATTGTATCTCAGAGCTATGTTGTCGTCTCACACATCAGGCACAGCAGGAGTATTCATAACCAAATCATGTAGTAACTTTCTGTGAGGGAGCTTTTAGAGGCATTAAATACTTCAGACGTCTGATTCCAGTTTTTCTGGAAGAGCTTATTTTACAAACCATTCTGAATGACTTTGTTTATATCTTAACCATTTAATTCTGCAAAAATGTTGAAAAGCTGGTGGACTTCTCAGTACTTATAACATCTGTGATGTACTTAGAAAAGCTTATCATGGTAATGCTTTTGTGCTGTCAAATCGCCCACTCCTGACTACATTAGGAGTGTAACAATACTAGTACTGATTACACTGCCTGAGGTATAATAAACATGAAACCAAGCAAGGCAGACACCCCCCCCTTCTAAAAATCTGGTTTCCTCTTTACCTCAGTATCTGGAAGAAAAGCACGCTCTTCGTAACCACATTAGATTGTATTATTATAAAATACTAAAAATATATAAAAAACAATGGTAAATTGAAAAATGTACAAAGTCAAGGCTTCTCTGTATCGTGTCAAACTTAGTTCCACCCCTGGTTTACAACAGGAAAATGTAATTTTGCAGTATTTTGTAATACGTTGGTTGATCACATTTAAAAACAGAGAATGCGTTTAAAAAAAGTACAAAGCATAATTACATGTTTAGGAAATCCATTTGTCTATGTTATATTGGACATGCTGTGCATTGGACCCTCAACTTGATAAACAGATCAGTGATGCATTTCTCTCTCTCTCTCTCTCTCTCTCTCTCTCTCTCTCTCTCTCTCTCTCTCTCTCTCTCTCTCTCTCTCTTGCAGGCTTTCTCAGTGTTCTTTGTGTGTGTGGCGTTTACATCAGATATCATATGCCTGCTCTTCATCCCTGTGCAGTGGCTGTTCTTTGCTGCCAGCACATATGTGTGGGTGCAGTATGTCTGGCACACAGGTAAGACCAACAATCCTGTAATCCTGCTTTCAACTTGTCTTGTTTGCTGCAAAGTCTTAATTTTCCTATAAATTACATTCAGGCCATCATGGGTTTTAAGCAGGCCTACAACAAATTTTCAGTAATTTTCAAGAGATTCAATATTTAAAAAAATAAATATTTAAATATTTGAAAAAGTGAAAGCTGCTCAAGTAACCAAACTTTTATGAACCTATTGCACAGCCATGTGGAAACACATGTTTATCAAGCTAAATGCTTGCTGGTCCCCAGTATCACACAGTTGCCAGCTCTGCACACTGGAGTCTAGACGGAGGTTGCAATTTGGCACAGCTTGCAAAACTTTCCACTGTTTGAGGCGACAGCATCTGTCTTAACACTCAACAGTCCAAATATGTTTTCTCCTTCTCCACATTGATAGCGCCAGCTATCGTTGACTTGACTTAATGTTTTTAGTAGTATTCCTTACCAGGAATAAATAAGAGTGCAAGTTGGCTGTACAGAGGTGTATGAAAATGTTGGTGTGCTGTAGTACTGAGTGATTTTGAACGGCTTTAAAAACCTTGATCACTGCTCACTGCTGTTCAGAGCCAGCAAAGTTGTGTGTTATCAGTGTTGTTTTATTACCTTCAGTACTATTACGAATAGTTACAATATTTCTAATAAAAATAATAGTAGCAACAGTTCCATAACAACAACAAAAATAAAAAAAATAGCAATAGGAATATTTTTTTTTCCATTCATTTATTAAAGCCCCTCTTTACTCATTTGCTTTTTTCCCTTTAAATAATATCTATAGGTTTTATAATGTTTTTACAATGAGCTGGCAGAGAGAGAATGCAGTTAGTGTTTTCTGTTGAGAGATTTTTTTTAAAATAATGTTTTCTGCCATTTTCTTCTGTCCGATTTGAATTGGACACAACTAAATTTGGTGCAAGTCACCCAAATCTTCAAAAGAACCAATCAGATATAGTGATATATGTACGTCAGCTTCTCGCTGCTCTCCTACTGCTTTGAGTCCTACATAAAACTTCTTCTAAATTTCTTGATAAATCTTTTCTAAATTTGTTAACAGTACTTGTTATGAAGGTTTATTACACCGTTGTTTGTATTGTAGCCAGACGCTACATGGAGGCTCACACTTTTAGGGCTGAACAACAACGACTGGCAGTGTCACTCATCACTGCCACTCTACCCAGGTTGTTTACATTGTCTGGGATATGCCACTGTCTATGGGCATGTCGTGGGCTTTTCTTGTTACAGAATATTCAGATATTCTAGACAGTTCGAAAGGACTCGTTTCAAAAATGAAGGTATTTGATGGGTGCAATCAAAGTTTTACGCATGTCGTTTAAAACATTAATTTGCTACAGCCATCCGTAGCCGGGAGTCCGAGAGAGCACGATTGGCCTCGCTCTCTCTGGGTGGGTAGGATGGCCCCTCCTTCTCCCCCCATCACTCAGCGCGATGCTAGTCAGCGCAGGCGTCTGTTAGCTGACGTAACAGATCTGGCGGTTGGCGCTTTCCTCCGAGCGCATTCGGCTGTCCAATGACGTTGCATGAGCGGCAGTTCGAAAAGAAGCGGTGGTGCTTCACAGGTCTCGGAGGAAGCCTGTGTTAGCCTTCGCCCTCCTAGCGTTGATAGTACCGTGTGATTGGGGGAGTCCTAACCAGCGGGTGGAATTGGAGACGACTAAATTGGGGAGGAAAAAAAAAAAATAACATTAATTTGAAAAAGGGCTCTAATATGAAAGAGACTGATTTACCATTTGAATCCTGTCAAACACTGATCTGTTCACTTTCATTAGTGGATCTTAATAGCTTACCCAATACTGACTTGTTTTGTAAATATAAAGTGGATTAGTGGATGAATCCAGAAGCTAAAAGCTCTTTGAGAGGATAATACAGAGGAAGAAAGGAAAGCCTATGGCAGCCATTGTTCTTTCACCTAGTGTTTTCTTTTTTCTTTTCAAATTAGATCTTCCTCATCAAGTCTTTCATGTGCATATGATAAACACAGTTTAAACTGAATTTAGCTTCCCTCCTGCTTCTACTAAAGCCATATGTGAAGACAGATTTGCCAAAACCCCCCGATCATCACCCACTATTTCAAAACCCCCTCACTTTTGCGAAGACGGTGTTCATTTGCACAATTTAGAAGGCAATGCAAACATCTGTTACTTCCACGTTTCTAAATGGTTGTTTGCCGCATTGGTAACACATTTTTTGTTTTAATGTATTTTAATGAGATTGGAGAGGGTTCTTCATCAGGTAATGCACTAAAAAGGTCTAATACTTGACAAGCCTTGAATCTGATGAATAATTTCGTACATTTCTGTGTAAACCCAGAGGATTAGCTTCAGTGAGTTTTTATCAGTATTTCAGTATTTTGCAACACTTACTGTGAGTGTGAGCACAAGAGAGTGAGAGTGAAATACTTCTCCAAATCCCATGTGACAATCTGAAGCAAGCTCTGTGTCTGTACTGAATGTCAGGCGATATTTAACGGCAGCCCATATACACTGCGTATCAAAGGATTATTCACACGTATTGCATCATCATCACACTTCTCTGCCACATGGGCTGATAGTCTCCAGTGCTAAATGATTTACACAACCGTTTTATAAGCTCTAGACTCCTCTAGTCTATAAATATACTTATCTCTGTGTGGTCATGTGCGTTTTATAGAACACACAGCAGATAGCGTTCAGTTGACTGAACAGATCAATCAGTGAAGTTTTCTAGAACTGCAGGTTTCAATCTACATAGTCTGACAGTGAAGGTATCAATGGAACCAGACGGCACTTGTGCTTGTAGTTCATTTGTTTGTTGATCTTAAAAAGGAAATTTGGACTGTCATGACAAACCCCAGCCAGCATTCAATTTAATTTAGGACTTTTTTTTATATAGTGCTTTTTATGCATGTTGGAGAGCAGCTTTACAGGCCCCAGTTGAGCATCCCCAAGGGCAACACTGATGAGGAAAAACTTCCTAAGAGCAAGAGAAAGAAACCTTGAGAGGAACCAAGACTCAGAGCAGGAACCCATCATGACACCAGAGGAAAAAAAAAAAGGATTAAGATTTGACAATGAGTATATAAAGAATGAATATGAAAAAAAAAGAATTGAGCCTTGACAGAAGTATTTAGATTAACCACGGATAATCAGTGGCTTCTGCTAGAAGTTTGTCAGTGTAACAAAGAGAAAGGACATCTATGAAAATCAGAAGTTGCTGCTGAAAGCCTGTTGTGATGAATACATGAAGATCTCAGTGAGTGCGTTTACATGCACGTAATAATCTGATAACTGCCGACAATCAGATTTTGTCAGTAATCCGATCAACACGTTTACATGCACTTGAGTAATCAGATAATGGGAAACTCCAGGTCTGCATGAGCCGGGCAGTAATCAGATTTCTGCTTTGCAACCAGCCAATAAACTCACAGAAGAAGACGTGGAGTAAACGAAACATTAAGCTAGAACTTCATGCCATGACTTTTTTTAATGATGTGCCACTTTACCTAAAAATATGAACATACATAATCTAGAAGATGAAGAATATTTGAATCCTTTATTTCATCAAGTATGTTTGGTTTCAGGGTTGCTCAAAGTGTTGTGCTGCCATCTCGAGGCAACGCTGCTTGCTTATTTCTGGTACCGTGGTCTGTTCTCGCGCATGCACAGACTGAAAAATGTGAAAGAAATCAGAGTAAGAGTTTACATGCACTGAGAAATCTGATTACTGAGCTACAATCCATCTCTCTTTATCGGATTTCTTAATTGGATTTCTAGACCTTACTCCAATCTAAGACATCAGAGTATGCCGTTTACATGACCATTTGGATAATCAGATAACTGCAGAAATCTGATTATGATCGGATTATTAAGTGCATGTAAACGCACTCAGTTTAGTCTAAGGCAGGTGAACGGTATCTAGGGTTGGATAGTTATAGTTTGAGTCTGTTCAGTCAACAATATCATGAATATTGTGCAACATCGCAAATAATAGCTACTAACAGTTCTTAAAAGGAGTGTTAAAGTACATTGTTAAAGTGAAAGTGATGATTCAACATCAACAATTAGTCAAATCAGTTATAGTCAGTTACAATAATATTTTTTAAAGTATGCTCTAATTTCTTTTGGCTAAAATAAAGTTTTCTGGCCATATTCAAACATAAAAATCCAACATTAACAGCATGGCAGGTTGCTTTACGCAACTATTGTCATCCAGTGATGTTTGTGTATTCAAAAATTTTTGTTTCAAAAAATACTTTAATGATAATCTAATTTTAATAATTTAATTTTAAAGCTGTTTTTGGTTATTGCTCATCGTTTCCTTTTTGTTTGTTGCTCTTATTTATTGTCTTATTTTTGTCTGATGAAAATGATGTTGAAGATGTTGGAAGCACTGTGCAAAAATTAGCCAGGTTTCAAATTGGCACTAACCTTTTAACCCTCGCGTGGTGTTGATGTGTTTGTTACTCAGTGGTCTGATGGACTCACCACATTATTGTTTTTTAAATCAATACGGCCATAACAATTTATGTAAAATTACCAGATGTTTAAAATATCACAAGTGTCCAGTGTAGGGTTCTCCTTTAGCTGCTGTAGCCAGTCAGCAGCCTGTCCATGTTGTCGACCCTCTCTCACACACACACACACGCGCACACACACACGCTAACAGCAGGCCGTGTAGGAGGAGAACAGAGTGAAGGACACAGCACCTCCACACTTTTATTCCCCGCGGGTTCACCCAACACCACATGTGTAATATAAATGTGTGGGGGGTGAGCAGAGTGAAGTCATTGGAAATGTGTTATTTTATATGTTCTTCACAGAAAATGAGCAAAAGCCAAGGCATCTGAGGTTGAAATAATAATAAATCACATAATTTTTTTATTATGGTAAGTATTTTAAATGGGTCCCACAGACCGAACACCACTTAAGGGTTAGAGCACTCCGCAGTTCACTGTGATGAACCATGTACACTTCATTTTCAAGTTTTTGTAAAGAGGATTTTGCCAGAATGTACAGCCTGGGCTTCGAATTGAGAGCATTGAGAAAATTCGTTGTCAGACCTACCACTTTAATCTTTAGAAATCTCTGACTGTGGTTTTACAGCACATATTTAAGGCGGGTCATTCATAGTGTGAAGTGTTCCACTCAGGTGTTACTCACAATGCACTTTATGAGCTGTCGAATAAAGCAAAGGTTATGAAGTATTTCTGCATAATTTTATTGACTCGATACAGTCTCGATCATGGTGACCATGCTTATTTTTGACACTGTCATCATACGGATCCAGCACCTTTACAAGGCATTCCCTCCCTGAACACACACACACACACACACACACACACACACACACACACACACACAAATACCAGTCATTGACCTGCCTATTTCTGCCTGCGTGACAGCAGCGTTCGATCTCTTTGTCCACACCTGGGCCGTGTCTCGAATGACTCACTCATCGGCTGATCCCTTATTAACAGCTGACACTTGAGTATGACATGAGTGTGTGTGCAGCCGTGTTTGTCTTTATTGTATTGTGCTTAGTGAACAGCTGTCAGCTAGTAACTCAACCCAAATATGACAAGTAACTCCTCATTCTAACACAGCTTTTCATTAGATGGTGAATTGACTGAAAGATGTTTTATTCAGTTTTGAACTGAAGATGACAATTCAGTGAATAGTACTAGCTGTGTAACGATTTACAGACTTGTCGTGTCGTGATTTGATGCAGCAAAAATAAGGATTGCCTGAAAATCTGCCATATGTTAATGTTTGCATTTTCAGTTGTTTAGAGCATTCCGTTCATGAAAGTACAGTATTTTTAAATAATGCCCTAGCCACGAACTAAGGCCCAATCCCATTTCACCCCTTTCCCCTACCACTTAGGGCTTAGCCCTCCGTTTTGCACTGTTCACATCTAGGGGTATTGTGTCCTGATTTTTGTTGAGATAGAGGGCGAAGTGTTAGGGCTACATCGCCCTTCAAACGGAGGTTTTTCAGAGACACACTCCAAACAGAGTGTTATGAGGGGAAAAGAGGGCAATATGGCTGCGCGAGCGACCAGAGAGACCCACAAATGTGAGAATTTTCTCCGTTAGCAAATTACGAAAACCATTGTTTTATTTTAATTTAAATGTTGTTTCAATGTATTATGGTGCTTTTCTTTATAACAAGCATAAAAATCGCTAGTACTGTGCTAACATCTCGGTAGCTAGCTAGATAAATTTCCCGTTCCACCTTAAATAGTCCAGCACTTCTGATGCCTGAAGCGCCAGAATGTTACTGCTGCTCCATTTAAGATGGAACGAGAAAATTCGAAAGAGAAGCTGGCGAAAAAAAAATGACTTCAGCTTTATATCACCAAAGAATTAGGGGTGGGCTATTTTGAATCATTTTCACATCCCCCCTCTTTGAAGGCATATGATGCCCTAAATGTAACTAAAGCCCAGCAGTGAGGAGCTGAACTTTACCCTCCTCTGCTGTCACTGCAGACTGGCAGAGTCGCCTACAGAGCAGCGCTGGTAGCTGTTAATGAAGTAATGTTCTTTTTTTATTTGGTCCCATTTTGTAGGGAAGATTCCAACCACTACCTATTATGACTCAGTTCCGAGGGGCAAGGAGACACTCGAAAACAAGGGGTAGGGGTAAAAATAAGAAATGGGATCGGGCTCAATAGGTTAGCCTCAAGATAATATATACAGGGGACATATGAGGAGTGTGCTTCTGTTGAATGTATTATTTGGTGACTGTACATATTGAGCAATACAATACAAAATGTCTGAGGTCTTCACATCTGGACCTTGAGTCCAGTTTCTCTTTCTGGAGTTTACATTCACATAGTTTTAACTGATTGGCCATCAAGTGTCGTAACTACTGGTGATTAGACTAGACCACTCATGATCATGATATTTTAGCTGATGATTAATTGTCATACAAACAATTGTGATTAAGATTTGTCTTTTCTTGTTCATTGGTTGCAGCTATTAACATTAAAATACAAGCCTAATGTGGTCATATTGGCTGATTTAGCCACCTTACTTGCTAGTTATATTTACTTAGTAGTGAACACTTGTGTAAATGTGCTGATCCAAAGTACAACCAATGTCTGTAGTTACACAGAATTTTGTGTTAAGCAAAGCTGCATGTTCTTTACGCGAGTGAAAATATCAGCCTTTTAAATTTAGTGGGAGTTATGGAACAAACATTTCAGTCATTTTTGACAGTTGTTATTGGTTCATTCATCATTAAGTTTTCATACAAGTTTAACTGGAATTATGTCAAAAAGGAAAACAAAAAACTGAGATCCAACAGCAAATGTTTATAAGAGGGGCCCATTCTTATCACTGTTATATCTCTCTCTCTCTCTCTCTCTCTCTCTCTCTCTCTCTCTCTCTCTCTCTCTCTCTCTGTTTACAGAAAGGGGGGTCTGTCTCCCCACCGTGTCGCTATGGATACTCTTTGTTTATATTGAGGCAGCTATAAGATTCAAAGATCTGAAAGACTTCCATGTGGATCTGTGTCGTCCCTTCGCAGCACACTGGTAAGGAAATGGTCATTAAAATGTTGTTGTGACTGAGTTTCATGTCCTCTTAGATTCACGTGGAAAATATTGCTCTCTTGGTTCTTAAGCAATGACTTCATCACACTGTGTCGTGACGCAGTGATCTTAAGTCACCCTAGAACATTCTGAAGAAGTGATCATCTCTCAAGAATGAGGTCTCTGGAAAAAAAGCTACAGGCAAATTACAGAAACTAATCATTGCACCAAAGTGAAGAAATTACAAACATGATTAACACTTCAGACCAACACCAGCTGGACCTTCGGTGTCGCACTTTATTTTTATTTTAGGCTTTGCATTCACAGGAAATGAACATAAACAAATGCTGTCAGTTACATTAGTAATAGTGTAATCTACTGATTATTTGAATAAGTAATTAGAGCTATTTAAAAAGGCCAAATAATGAGTTAAAAGTGACATACAATACATAGATTTTCTAAATATTGCAAAATATTTTACTTTTTCATGCTCTGTAGGAGAGACCATGACTTTTATAATGTCTTTACAAATGATACCAATCCAACCCCCCATTATCAGTATTGGACCAATATTAGCAGAAAGTACTGGATCAGATATCGGAGAAAAAAACGGGTTTAGCCTGAAAAATCACAGAATTGCTTGTACAACAAAAGATAAAGTGAAGTGACGTAGGTCATGTGATAACAGTAACCATGTCGTGATAGCAGTAGTCGTAGCTACAGAGCCTTAATGTAAGTACATAAGAACCACACAGAGCAGGTGGGAGAGGCATTTTAACAGCAAGTTCATAAATTTAATTTTTCTTACAAAAACATGAACATTTTTACTTAACATTACTTTGTAGGGAGGCTTTGCTTATTTGATTACTTGTGCAGTAATGCTAATTTTCACTAGAGATTGCAGAGATGCTTGCATTAAACTAGAGATGGTGTGTATTCACTTCCTACACTGGGCTTAATATTACTTACAGCACTTTAGTTGACATTTACAGCATGTAGCTTTTGTATATTGCAGTTTTTAATTGAAGCTGTTGGTAAATAAACCTCTAAATTTAGCTAGTAGGGATGAGCGGTGATATCTGAAATTCTATCAGTATCGACATATTCTGGCATTGGACAGATTTTGAGATGTGACCAATACTCCAAAACAATATTTGATGATGTATTTATTGTACTAGATCTGTCCCAATTTCTGTAGTTTATAAATGTTGATGTTGATGTTTGCTAATTTGAGGTAAATCTAGTCCCAGTTCGGTTTTTCTCTATCTCAATTTCTGTAGTGTATAAATGTTTGTTTTGGCATCAGCTGATGTGTACATGAACAATATATCTGCATCAGCACAGAAATCCTATCTCAGTGCATTCCTATTAAGAAATATACTTTTGCACACAATTACATTGTAAGTGAATTTTAATTTTCGTGCAGAAGTTTGGGCGCCCCTGGTCAATTTATGTTTTGTTGATTTTTGCAAGTAAAAATAAAGTTAATACTTCCTCTACAGAGACCACACTTCTGTATGTTATAATGCTCCATTTACGGTTTATTTATAGCATTTAGCATGTTAAAATTAAGATACAATTCTGTCTTTTTTTGTATTGTTTAATTGATTAATTCTGATGGCCCCTTGAATGATGATCTTTAAGCTCAGATGGTATGCTTATACTAGGTTACACCAGTGTCTGTATTGGACTATTTAAAGCCCCCAGCAGTGCAGAAGCATTGCTGATTCTCACACCTCCTTCACTCCAACACATTTCTTGTTTTTCTGTTAGTTCAAGCTGTAGGAAATGCATCATGGAAACCTTTATGCACTTCCAGGCCTGTGATTCTAATATCTTTTATACTTCTTTAAAAATCCATGATTTTCTTGACATTTTAGACACATTTTAATTTTTTTTTGTTTTATTTATTTTTATAATTAAATTTAGATCTTTCCTTATACTTTTGCTTTTTTTCTAAATCTCTGTGTATAAAATTGTGTGTATCTCAGTCTGTATACTCCAACTGATTTATCACACATCTCTGTCTGTAGTATTGGGTACCCAGTGGTGACGCTGGGCTTTGGCTTCAAAAGCTATGTGAGCTATAAGATGCGCCTGCGGAAGCAGAAGGAGGTGCAGAAGGAGAACGAGTTCTACATGCAGCTCCTCCAGCAGGCCCTGCCACCAGAACAACAGATGCTGCAGAAACAGGAGAGAGAGGCAGAGGAAGGTAAGGCGTGAAGGGAAGTAGAGGAATTAAATGAATAGATATAGCTTGGCTATACAGATATTACTGTTACTATAATATTAATCAGCAGATGGACAATGTTAGAAATAAGTGAAAGTTGGTTTAGTTGAATGTATGATAAATTTATGGCAGGTATCCTCGTCATCTCGCCTCGTTGTGCAACAAACTGCACTGTTTTCAACGTAACCATTGAAGAAAAGAAATTACGTGTGTAGGATCTCTTTAAATTATCAGGTAATAAGAAAAATGTTCAGGCAAAATTTGCAGTAAGGGGTTGTTATACTACAGAGGCATAACACGTCTGATGGATCATCTTAAATAAGAATGTTTGGTGATCTTTATCTGAAGACTGAGCCTCCGACTCAACTTGTCATTTCAGATGTGAATATTAGCTAATTTTCCCCTTGTTTGCTTTTATAATTGAACGGTTTTGCAGAATGTTTAAAACCTGACAACAGAAGTTTTGTTTATTTAGAAGGTTTTTTGCCGCTTTAACAGAGTAGAGTCTCCTCCTTACACTGTTAGTACAGCACAGGAGCCGCAACTTCCACACTTACATTTTGTGATGTGACTCAATCTGTATGAAATTTCACTTGTGCACAATTTGAGAGACAGATGTTAGACTAGCGCAGTTGGTATAAACTGAAACGCTGATTCAAATGGAAACATATTTCTTCTGTAGGCAAGACGACTAAAAGATGCGTTAAATATTGTTTTTAATGGGTTATTTGGAGAAGGAATATTTCAGTACTCTTTCGGAAATAACAAGTTTTCAAAGCCTGTAAAATGCTGTTTGGCCCAGCCCTAACGTTTGAGTTTTAAGGAATATGAGGGAGATATTTTAGAATAGAAAATACGTATTTTACTAATTTTTTACACAATGCCAAAATATTTAAGCCTTTTTTCTCATCTGTCTTTCACTCCTTCTGGCTCACTCTCTCCTATGCTTCCCCAGCTGCTGCAGCCAAAGGCATCCACGACACTGACTCCCCTCCGGTAGCCCAGAACGGCTCAGCCGGCGGTAAGAAACCCGCGTCCAATTCGTTACCGGAGCTGGAGTACCGAGAGAAAGAGCGAGGCAAGGGCGAGGGCCGGGAGTCCAAGAAACAACACAACCAGAACCAGAACCATCACAGCAGCAGCAGCAGCATCCTGCCTGTTGTGGACTATAAAGCACAGGAGCTGGAGTACATGGAGAATCACGTGAGCAGTAAGAGACTGAGCAGCTCCGAGCTGCTGGGCAGCACAGAGAATCTGCTCCTGAAAGAGGACAACTCTTCATCCTCATGCTCATCATCCTCTTCTAACTCCACCTCCTCAAAAAATTACAAAAACGCCAGTGGGGGAGGCGGAGCTGGGGGAAACTCATCGCCCCGCGGACACGGGACCGCCAACGGCAGCGTGCCCTCCTCCTCCAGTGGGCCGTCATCATCCTCTTCCTCAGGCAAGGGGGAGAAGAAGCAGAAGTGTGGGGGGAAAGGAGCAGGGTCACATCGAGATCCTGTGGAGAACTGCATCCCCAATAACCAGCTCAGCAAGCCTGAGGCGCTGGTCAGGTAAAACAAATACAAGCCCACACAAGCAGTCAGACTGTAAACAGCACAAAGCAAGAAGGCAGTAAACCAGCTTTTACTGACACGTCTTTTGAATCTGAGTAAAGGAGGCCAGCTGAGCTCTGCTGTTGCATTTAGTCTTAAAGTGGAATGTTGGCACACGTGTGAGATACAATGGGGGGAAAAGTAATAATAATTAAGCGCGTATTAATTAAGAATCCAGTTTTTTTGTCCCTGTTTGGTTCCAAGTACATTCACTTTGAGTAGGAACTGATAACAACTGCATACAGTCTTTATTTTCATAATGCAGCCCTACTATTTAGGTAAGATATGCTGGGCTGCTAGTCAATTACATTAAAATCACTTTGCATTTAATATGTGCATAATGTGACATTCTGGACTGATATTTGTTTCCGTTTTTTTTTGTTTTTTTTGTTTTTTTTTTTGGACTACTTTTTAAAATGACTTTAATAGTATGTTTAGTATTGATTATGATGACTTTTTTAAGGGGTTTTAGGTTCTGTTTTTCATGATGATTTGGCTATAAGTTACTTTAAAATGCTGGAGCAAAATCACTTCGTTTGTATATATGTATATAGTGGTATACAGTAGCAGTGGATGATGGGGCAAAAAAATAATCACATTACTTCAAGAAATTTTCACAGTAGACAATGTGACAATTTTTTTTTCCTGACATCTGATAAGTTGGAACAGACAAATTGCCACATTCAAAAAAATTCTATGAATAAAATGATTTATATTCAACATTTCACATATTGCGCTGCACCAAATCTAGTTAACCCGATCTAATTTTGTTCTCTATAATCAAACATACAATTGTTCAGTGTTCTTTAAGTACTGATGATATTCGAGATCTGATCGGAGAAGCATACTGTGACCTATTGTGATGTAATTTATCACAATAATGATCAATACTGTGATATTGCCTAGCCTTTGTTTTTTTGACTGCTTATAAAAACCATTTTATAGTGCTGTGAATGCAGTGTGATTTATATTGCTGTATAATGAGCACCATGGCCTGCTCCTTTCTCTTGGTTTTGAACGTGCTCCTGTTGAATGCCAGTTTTTGCAGTAGTTTCATTTTTAGCCTGCCATGACTCGAGAGTGAAAGTCATGGCATATTTTCTGCTGGTTTTGCTGGCGTGTCAACTGTTTTAAACTGCAGATGCTTGGCGTAAAGCGTGATCGCTGCACACTCACATTTCACTTGCCTGTGTTCAGAGGAAAAGTGACAAGGTCAAATGCAACGGAAGCACCGGCACTGCAGATATTACAAGCTTATTCTCTTTAAAATAGCTCCACATGCAGACATCTAAACTGATTGGTACACTTGCCTCAGTGCTGCAGGTTGCACTGATACCACTTTTTCACTTATGATACAGATGAGGTCACTTTGTGGTACTCCAGTGACACAAAAACAGAAACACAGAGATGGAGCTTAATATAGCCGATACTCAGTCCATGAAAATATACCTGTATAATATATGCCCATTATTTTAACAATCCTTAGTTAATAACAGTAATAGGAAACATAGTATTACATGGTAAAAATTATTTACATTTTTTTCGGGGAGCTAAAAATTAGGCTGTCTGTAAATTTCTATTTACTGAACATGGGTGATTATCTTTCGAGCACTTGCATCAGGCTGCTTCAGTCATTGCTGATATCTGATTCCATGAAATGCTTTATTGCCCAGCCTCAGTAGGAGCTTTCATTAAAACTGAACTTTGCTTGTGCTTTTGTCCATTTTCACATGATTGTGATTAGATTTTTGGAAAGCTTTCCCTTTAATCATACTTTGACGCAGATAAGTTCCCATTTTAAGATTTGTTCAATGTGTGTAGTTTAAAAAAACATTTTTCTAGATGTGGCGAAACGTGTGGTTAGAGTGTTGAAGGTCGAAACCCACAGTTTATTGTCAAGTTTCCACTTACATCCAGCTTCTCATTCACATCTCAAAGTGATATTTTAAGTGATGGTGTGTTGAACTTCGCTAAATTTGCTTTTTGTTTTCGGCAAGTCTGTAGGCTTTGAGGATCTCTTTAAAAATGATATATTCACTTTGAAGATGTTCAGTTTTAACTGTTCTTTTTTTCTTCCTTTTCATGATCCAGTTATTCCAAGCCTTTGATGTCATTTGATGCAGCATTTTGTTGGTCTGTGTCAGATGACTAATGTAGTGTGTAGACATGTCCTTCTTTTTTGGCCATTTCAAGGCTCTAATTATGAATGTCCCATACAGTGGCTGCCCTTTTGATTAGCTCTAGAGTCTGGCAGACATAATCTAAACTGCACAACACAATTTTTTTCTTTTTTCAGTATAGTAATAGACTGATATTGATTAATTATTGTGAAAAGCACCTTTAGGCGGCGTTCTGACAAACCTTCTCAAAAAGTGTGCTTATTCCATTGTTTTTTAGGGGGTTTTAGGTTTTTGTTTTCTATTCATTATAACCTGAAAACATAGATAATATTTCTACAAGAACACACAAACAAAAGGAAAAGCACAACACAACTCACTGTGTTCAGAAAACTAACCTTTTCTTAATTTTCTATGAGTGACTAGAAATGATGTGGGCACTCAATAGGAAAGTTGATAAACACAACTTTTGTACAGACTTCATTATTTTATATATTTTTTTGTTTTCCAAGATGTTAAATTCAGCAAAGAAACAGTAATTGTGTGTTAAAATGTGCAGATGTGTGTTGAACTTACTTTCACTTAGAAAATAAACCAAAATAATAATAATTTGACCAGGGATCCAAACGACTTTCAGGTTGAGTTCCCCCAAAAGAGAACCATACGTCATTCACAGCTGACCTCTCAGTGTTGAGGGTTTCTGGTCACCCATCCAAAATGGAGAACAGGACAGTAAATAAATTGTATTTTTTGCTTTTTTTCCTTTTGTTTGTGTGTCTTGTTATGGAAATATTATAATAAGTTTTCTGTTCGTCATTGTAAAATGTTTATCGATTTCCTCTGCCTTTTGCGTTTGTGTTTACCCACTTGTCAGTTTAATCCTGCCTCTTTTTAAGCACCTGCGTTTAAACACTCGTCTGAATGCCCTCTACCGGAGTCGAAACAGGCCTGCCTGCTTTTAACTTTTTAACTGCCCTTAAACTGCAGGAGAACTATAATGTGTGCCCACTTTTTCAGTTTCTCACTAAACATGAAGCTGCTTTAAGAGAACTCACTGCATGTGTTGTTTGTTCCACCACCAGGCTGGAGCAGGACGTAAAGAAGCTGAAGGCGGACCTGCAGGCGAGCAGACAGACAGAGCAGGACTTGCGCAGCCAGCTGGGCTCCCTGGGCAGCTCCGAGCGCAGCGTACGCTCTGAGCTCAGCCAGCTCCGCCAGGAGAATGAACTTCTGCAAAACAAGTAAGAGCAGAGTCTGTTTGGTCGCTCCAGCCAAAAAAGAAGGATTTAATTAGTAGAGATGCACCGATACCACTTTTTCACTTCCGATACAGGTACCTGATCCTTGAGTATCGGGTAATACAGAGTATCAATACCAATACTAACTCTATCTAATGTATTTATTTATACATATGTATACAATTCCACCCTTTTAAATATGTTTGTAAATATATAAATACACACACATACATATAGATATTCTTTTTATTGATTTACAATTATATAATTAGTAATTAAAGCCATATCAAAGTGAATTAAATGCAAAATATTTATCGTGCTAAACAGTCAATTACAGAGCTGAACAATATATGTATAAACCTATGGCGCGTACATGTTTTTTCACCGAATTTCTCAAGTTTTTTGTCTTGTGCGTCCCATTCACTCGTGGTTAAGTTACGTCTCAGTGTCAACAAATATTGCTGTTGTTTGTTGGCAGCAGTTAAGCTTAGGATTTATTGGCATTGTAGCTGTGAGCCGCAGCTGCCTGACAGGTGCACCTCAGACGAGGCTAGTGGAAACACAGACCCGTCTAGCGGGCTGAAATGCTTAAGACTAAACCACAGCTAAAGGCTGTCAGTACCTCAAGAGACCGGTGGGTTTCAGTCATGTCTGTCTAACTATCACTCCCTCAAAAACAAACTGGACTAACAGTTAAGGGGCTACTGTTAGCGAGTTTTACGCTCTTTGTTGCATAATAAAATAAGTGAAGCTTAGGAAGAATTTTAAGTGGTACATCTGCCACTACCTGCCTTTCCACAAAATACTGGTTTTACAAATTCTGCCATGAGCATTTTCACTGCTGCTTGTCAAGCCACACTGCCAACAGTTCTGTCTCCTGGTGCACATGAACCCTGCAGCACGCGAGCGCATCAGAAAGTGCCTCATGGTATTGGTAATAGTTACTGGTATCCCTATCACCGATATCAGCTCTGATATTGATATGGTGTCAGAATTGGTGCAACACTATTAATTAGCATTCCATTTTGTTCATGTAGCACGTTTCAAATGTTGTAGCTATAATTGTATTTCGTTTGTGTGTTTGTGTGTGTGTGTGTATTTAGGCTCCATAATGCTGTGCAAGCAAAGCAAAAGGATAAACAGACATTGGGACAGTTGGAAAAGCGTCTAAAGGCAGAGCAAGAGGCGCGAGCAGCAGCAGAGAGGCAGCTGGCAGAAGAGAAAAAGCGTAAGAAATTGGAGGAGGCCACAGCAGCCAGGGCTGTAGCTCTGGCTGCCGCTTCCAGGTACTTCTTGTTCTTGTATTTTTATTTTTTTTTTCCCCTCTTTCTTTTAAAAACTTATGGCACATCTAAAATTATGTTTTGCCTTAATGCTACAGCTGCATTGAGGTTTTACTGGAATGGATGCAAAATGTTCAGGGGTTTAAGGGGAGGTGGTTCAGCTAAAGTCCTGCAGGTGAAAAAGGCTGCAAGACAGCTTGGCAAATTAAGCAAGTGTTTTAATGAGGGTTTGTTAATGTATTTTCTGTATGAAACTTCAACACTGAAAACTGTCCTGATTGGACGTGTGCTGGTATTGTGTAACCTGTGCTGGTGAATCTGCGTTAGGGTGTGTATATATATATATTATGTTTATACCTTACATTTTAAATACACTATTATTTTGTAGAGAAAATAAGGAGGATGCGTTACTACAGTAAACACTGAATTTCTAAGTCAGCGTTAGTCTGCAAGGGGGCTAAGCATCCCTAAAATCATGCAGTTTTTAACCAGTGATTCTCAACCTGGGGGCCACAACAATGGTACGTAGGCCTATCTGTGCCTGTCTGCGTATCTTTGAGAATTACTTACGTTCTATAAAATCCTCTTGCCAGTGATAAGCTGTAAGGACAGTGTCTGCGCTGAAAGCAAACCGACTATAGTGAACAAAAATTCTGGTGTATAATAATATTAAGTAAACATTTCTGTTTGTTCAGGGGAAACTCATGAACGTAATTGCCAGTGATTATGAAAAAATGTCGATCTCGTCACTATGAAGTAAGACGGCTGTGCCTGGGCAAAACATGGACAAGCTGCAGATTTAAAAAAAAACCCTTGCCCACGATCAGCTGAAGTGTGGGAGTATTTTAGATAAGATACCCAAGAGTGTGTTGCTCTGTAAGCTCTGCTAATTGGAAATGGCTCATCATAGCGGTACAACTACTATGCATTTCAATGCGCATTCCTTTTTTTTCCCTTTGGATTTGATGAATATTTAAATGTCTAGTTTTTTACAGCCCTAGTGTTTGGCTCCTGTTGATTTATTTTTCCCTATATTTCATTTTAGAATTTCCAGCAATTAAAATGGGCAGAAATGCTGCACATAGTATGCAAACTATTATATATGCTTGAATATACAAATTTATTCTGAAGGCATTCATGAAGGTGACTGTTCATTTTGTTTTTGGCATCTCAAAAGTTTTGCCATCTCAAACCAGTAATTTCAGTATTTCAGAAACCTGGTAAGGCAGGTGGAGTCTTAATTTTGTCCCGCCCATTTTAATTTTATTCCATGCCTTTCTGCTTATTATGTCCATGTTGCTGATGAACTCTCTGTCTGTCTCTCTTAGAGGGGAGTGTACAGAGTCTCTGAGGAGGAGGATCTCTGAACTCGAGACTGAGTGTAAGAAACTTGCACTGGACATAAAAGTCAAAGAGGATCAGATCCGTGACCTCGAGCTCAAAGTCCAGGTGCGTGTTGCTTTTACAAGTTCACTGAAATCACACTAGTATTCTTTCAGTCTCCTGAAAATCTGATCGCAAAAACCATTAATGGTCTTGACTTTCGAACAGCTCACTCTTCTCTTTAACCCTGGCTGTGTATATGATGCTCTGTCCCACTATAGGAGCTGCATAAATATAAGGAAAATGAAAAGGACACAGAGGTGTTGATGTCAGCCTTGTCAGCGATGCAGGATAAAACCCAGCACTTGGAGAACAGTCTGAGTGCTGAGACCAGGATCAAGCTGGACCTCTTTTCTGCTCTCGGAGATGCCAAGAGACAGCTGGAGATCGCACAAGGTCTGTACCCTGCTGCAGGGGCTGCATAAGTCCAGGAAAATCGTATTTATGCAGTCAGGCTGTTTCAGCGACTCACATTTAAAGGGCCTACAGCATGAAAAACAGTCCTTGCTTTTCAGAGATGAGTTTGATGCACTATAGTTAAAACCAATGTACCAATCTGTCCTTAGTCCATACAGTTCATACATGGAAGCAAAGCTGCAAAAATAGCCTGTGTTAAATCTGTCTTGGTTGGTATAGTGTAGTGGGTAACACCTCAGCCTTCTACGCTGTAGCCTGGGGTTCAATCCCCTGCCTGGGTGAGCACTCTACACTATACCAATAAGAGTCCTTGGGCAAGACTCCCAACACTACCTTCACCTACCTGTGTAAAATGATCAAATTATAAGTCACTCTGGATAAGAGCACCTGCCAAGTGCTGTAAATGTACATGTAAATGGTTGTGATACCATGCTGTGATGGCACCGTTTGTTGGGTCTGTTTCTGCACTGCAGAAAGGTGTAATACAGGGCAGCCAATCAGAACAAAGATACTTTGCATATGTTGGTCTTTAAGACACAGTAACAAAACAGTCTGTTTAATTCTAAGGGATAAGGAGAGGTTGGAAAATTAATTTTGGCTGCCTTTTGGCACAGAAAACCATACAAACGTTGTAAGTGGACTTCAGGACAAAAACAGAGCATTTGGCTCTTTTTAAAGAAATAGAGCTTTACTTTCCCATGGTACCCAGCAGCACCAGTTCTCTATTTTTCCATGACATTTATCATACCACAGCCTTCTTCAGACATCTGAGCACGGCGATCTGCATGAATGTGGATCTTTGTTTTAGTGAAGTGGCTTTCTGACCATCTGCTTGGTACAGAAACCTGATGCATGTTCCTCTTCTGCATTCAGGTCAGATCCTGCAGAAAGACCAAGAGATAAAAGACCTGAAACAGAAGATCGCCGAGGTGATGGCTGTCATGCCCAGTATCGCTTATTCAGCAGATACCAGCAACATGAACCCGGTCACCCCTCACTACTCCTCGAAGTTTATGGACACCAGCCCCTCTGGCCTGGACCCCAACGCGTCCGTCTACCAGCCCCTCAAAAAATGAATGCGCGCTCCAGCTCACAACTCACCATCCATCTCTCTCTCTCTCTCTCTCTCTCTCTCTCTCTTCTCTCTCTCTTTCTCTCTCTTTCTCCCTCCCTCCCTCCCTCTCTTTCTTGCTCTCTCTTTTTCTCTGTGATCAGTTTGTTTCTCTTCATAGGCCCAGATCTTCTTCAGCATGTCTGAGGCTCTGAATGTTTTGGGATTTCTCTTCTACTGCTACTTCTCACCTGGTCAGAAGGATGTTGTATTGTGTGACTGTATTTGTTGTAGTACAAACAAAAAAAAACAACAAAAGACAAAAAAAGAAGACTTTTAAGGGACATCACCTGTTGAGTAGGAAATTGCTGTTGGGTTTTTTTTTCTTGTAAATGTCTAGAAACCTCACAGAAGTTGGCGTGCTTTTTTTTTTTTGTGCAGAATTGGCTCACTCAGTTTTGGTCCCTCTACATTATTTTTGGCCTTGAATTATTATTATTATTATTATTATTATTATTATTATTATTATCTCCCTAAATGGGAGAAGGGGACAAGTCTCAGGTCTACAGCATAAGGTCCTTTCAAGCAGGAATGCTCGACGATCTAATTTTTTGATTGTTTTGTTTAGGAAAGCAACCACCCCTCCCCCTTCAATTGAAATGATGCCGTGAAATTTTGGAACAAATTTGTGCATGTTTTTTTTTTTTTTCCCAGTATCTACCTAGAAAAGCTTAATTCTGACAAGGTCCCAAAGCACAGCACTAGTCTAGCAGTTTTGGACTTATGAGCGGTCATAGATAACCAGTGCCTTTAGACAGGACCTCATTAGTGGAACTGAAAGGCCTTGTCCCCTTCCTAAAGCCTCAACCCAGCCCCCTTATATACTTGTGATCCTTTGCGGCTGTCAAAAGATCGTCAAAAGGTTTCAGCGCCACTCCTGCACATCTTTCTGACTTAGGAGCGTTTAATTTGATTTGGTCTCTTGTTTACATCTATTTATTTGGCCTACATTGCACTGTTGAATCAAACTATGCTTGAAAGTAGCTTAGAAGGGAAATTGGGGTAAATTTAGGTGGATGTCGTGCAATGTTCATGTACATGTCGAACAAGAGCATGTGACCCGATTACTCCTGAAACTTTATTACATTGGCCAGTCAATTCTCTGTACCTGATGAATGCTAAAAAAAATTAGTCCAGTGCCAAGTAGCTAGGCCTGTAATTTTGTTCTGTCCAGATTTGGAATGCTAGGATAATGTGCTGCGGCCCAGAAGCAGCCGACAAAACTGTTGAATTGTATTTTCTAGTTCAGTGTCTTGGTAGCAGAAAGCTATTTGATGTTGTCACACGGTGGCGCCATTGTGCATAGGAAAGTATTGGGACTTGAGTTCTCAGTATTTCACGCTAAGGACAAAGTGTTAAGGAGAGAATGTCTAAATCCGGAGACCAGCTATCAACCCTCTTTCTCAAGACCCTTTTGAAGTTACAAGCCTGTAATTTTAAGCCTGTGGTTGATTCTTTCAGGCTGTTTTGTTGGCACTAGCTGCATGTTTAGCTGCTCTTTGCTATAACCCATGGTTCCTGTGAAGGAATTCTCTTGCATTTTTCAGCCTAATTTCTGTCTACTGCATCTGTAGCATATCTCTGTTGTCGGAAGAAAACCTCGTATCTCCATTTTTTGTAATTTTTCAGTTTTTGACATATTTTGAAAATACCCGTTACCATTTACGTTGCATGTACATTTCATGATGAATGGACCATAAGAAATGACCTAAAATGACTTGGAAAAAATTCTGATTCCATTGACTTGCATAGAAACTAAAGTATGTTTTTTCCTTCTCCTGTAAAGTTACTATTTTGGAGATACCGACAACAGCGATATGCTTGTTTACCACAGGAAATAAGGCTCATTTTCCTGTATTTAGTAAAGTAACCATTGATGCGAAATACACTTATAAAGAAAGCCAATGGGCAGGTGTTGAATTATTATATGCTACAAATGTTAAGAAATTCTGGAGTATTCTATTAACTGCTAATGTGATGTGCTGCCCCATAGTTAATAAGCTAATTGCCAAGTCCCTGCTAAGCTAAAGTGATTATATTAGGGCAGGGAACAGGCTACAGTGTGCAGGGCAGGGGGTACACCAATGCCAAAAGTTGGGAACCACTGCCGTCACTCATATGTATTAAGATTAGAACCCTTAGCACATCCCATAGTTGACTACGTTATTAAAAATATGGTTCTTCAGTGGTTCTTCAATAAAGACAGTGGTTCTATAGAGCCACAAACACTTAAAGAACCCTTTGCATTCTTAAATGGTTCTTTGCATGGTGAAATTGTTCTTCCGAGTGATGGAGAATGTGTTGCATACCACCAAAAAAGGGTTCTCCTATTACAAGTTTGACATAGCAACGGTAGCAGAACCCTTTTTGGTGCTATATACTAAGTCAAAAAGGCTTAGTATAGAACTGTATACAGCACATTCACCATCAATCTGAAGAACCATTTCACCATGCAAAGAACCTTTTAAGCATGCATGGTTTCATGGTTCTATATAGAAACATTGTCTTTACTAAAGAACCATATTTAACAGTGTGGGAAGGAAAATATAACTCTGGATTTTGTGCCAACATTACCAAGTCCATAGTTCATCTCAAGAACCGTGAGGAACATTAGGTAGGAAGGCTATGATCTGGCCAACAAAGAGCTGCTAGATGTGCAGCAACCCTCAGTCAAAGTCTAGAGTTCTAGATAATTGGCCATAATGCCACAAAACTGGGGTTTCGTGCTTGTAACTGAAATCGTAGAAGGATCTGGAGAAAGAAGGTTAGCGTTCAGCTCCCGATATGGCGACACTCCCAACCCCATGAAAAGTAAACTTCTTGCCCATCGTATTACTGTTTCAGTGCTACAGGATTGAAATAGCCTGAGTGAGTCCTCTGTGGTGTTATTATAGTGATCAGCAATGGTTGTTGTTTTGAGCGTGAGTGTGTATGTGTGTGTGTGTGTGTGTGTGTGTGTGCGTGTTTAAATTATGGTGTGAGGGAGAAGGTTTAGTTTCAGCGAAGACTGCAATGTGATTTGGCCCCCGAAAGAACGCTGATGTCACATAGCAGACTTGGAAAGCTCAAGTGAAACGAAGAAGAAAGCACTTGTTTGTGTTCTTTGCCCTGCGTCACCTCTCCCTCTTTTCTTTCTTCAGACCTGACCGTGGCTGCATTCTCACTCTGTGAGGTTTTTTGAGGAATAAAAAGGTTTTTTTTTTCTGGCATCTTGGAAGTCCTTGTGTTGTGTGCTCTGAGTGTGAAAGAACACAGCCTCTGCATTTTCTGTCTTTTGTTAATGATTTATTCAGTATTTAATAGATACAGAGGCCTTTTATCAGGTCCTCTTACTGTATACAGTGCTGAGAAGAAGTCAGACCCCACCCTTTATTTAGTTAATTTCCAGACAAAACAGCCATTATGTGCAAGTTTATTGAAAAAGAGGAGAAAACCTTAACTGAAAATTACACAGAAGCCTCAACAACTAGAAATATCAGTATTTCAGTATTTTGTGTGTCCACCCTCTGCTTCCACTCTTGCTTTTACTTTTTCAAAGAAATCAGTTGGGATAATTTTTCAGTTCAGTCCTTAAAGTTGGTTGTATTTTCTGCTTCTCACAATCCCAGCAGTCTCAAACACATTCAGTGATGTGGAGGTCTGGACTGGGTGGTCAGTCCATTGTTCTGAGAACACCAGCAGCTTCCTTGTTTGATGTGTCTCCTTTTCTCAGTAAGAGCTTCTTGACAGCTACACATCCTTTCAGACCCACAGCGCTGAGTCGTCTTCTCACAGTGGAAGGATGGACAGAAACACTTGTGGATGTTTTCAGATCTGAAGCAGCTTGATTTTCTCCTCTCTCTCAAAGATGAAAGCTTTAAGTGCTGTTTATCTGATTTTGGTGTCTACCAGGTCCTGCAGGTGGTTGTTAGGAGTCTCATTTTCTCTTTATGTTTTAAGGTCTGTTGAGCTCAGTGTGTCTCATCTGCTCAGTAATATCTCCTGAACATGAATAACTTCTACGCAATGGCTGTTTTGACTTTTGGGATCTTCAATAAAACACACACACACATACACACACACATTTTCTAAGCTGCTTATCCTTCTGGGTCACGGGGGAGCTGGAGCCTATCCCAACAGTCAGTGAGTGGAAGGCAGGTAACACCCCGGACAGGCCAGTCCATAGCAGGGAAGACGTTAAATAAAATACCCATAATCTAATTGAAAGGAAAAATTTTATATATATATATATATATATATATATATATACATCAACGGTTTGAGGTCAGCTTTTTAGAATGTTTACTACAAATTTGCATATTTTGCATCTACAGAGTATATATAGTTATATTTTAATAGAAAGCTGTTAAGATGTTGCCAGGTTTGTTTGCAGAACCTGCAAAACTAAAGAAACTACTGGGAATTAAGCCAAAGCCAACCCATTTTATCCCCTTGTTGTGATGTCACCACCTAAGCATTTCAGGTTTTAACCACAGTTGAGTCAAAAGGGTTTTAATATGTGCTTTTAACAATATTTTGTCAAAGAAAACTGCCAAATCATTACTGAGGCAAATGCTGCTCTTCAAGAAAGATGCTTTGAGTCTGGCAAAAAAAAACACTTTCAAAAGAAAGTGATAATTAATATTTCCCCAGTGTATCTATATCACCCCTCCAGCCACCTAATATAATCGCTGCCAGTCTACCTGCTGCAGGTAGTTGAGTTCTTCAGTCCATGATTGGCTTGATCAGATTCATTAGTGTGAGGTATTGGCAGGACATCATGTCAGATCATGTTAGATCTAAACTCTGAAGGAAAGTAGATCTTCAAGTGGTGGGTTGGTGACCACCGTTACCTAATCTTGATCTAATCTTAATTTAATTCGGTGTTTGTATTGAGTTGCCTAATTGTCAGTAGGTCTGAAAGAGAGAAGCTTGCGATACTTTCTGCCCATCACTAGGTGGCACTATATTATCACCTTATCGAAATCTCAGCTCTCCTGGGGTTTTTTTCAAAGTTCCTTAGGCAGATTGCTTAAAGTACAGTCTGGAGGGCAGGTCATGAACAGTCCTCGTTTGTGGATTGAAGGAATAATTTGGAAAAAAATAAAATCAAATGCACACATTTTCCCCTCTTACCCCAAATGTAGTTGGTCAACCAGGA